ATATATATATATATATATCACGTACACCAAATTATCAAGTATATGGAATGCTCATATAACATCAGGAAAGAGAAATCAGAGAATCAAGACGTAACGCGACATCACGAATGAATTCTTGAGGTCCGTTGTTTAGTTCTGCCAATTCTAATATATCACGTAATAATGCATCGCATTTCAACCCGCAAATTGTGACAGCCGTGAAATATGTTGGCAGAATCTCATACAGTTTCTCGTTACAACCTGTAATTAAAATACGTCAAATTACCTTCACAACTTCACCGATAATAGATGAAATGTGGGAAAAAAGAAACTCCGTAAGCTACTGTCGAATAAATCATACTAGAAGAAGATTATCCATAAGATTACGGGAAAAAGGTATAAAATATAACATGATTTTTAGGCTCAATAGCTGAAACAATAAAAATGGAATTTCGTCAAGAGAATGAAATAACCGGAAACTCAATATGCAGTAAATTTGGGCATTAAGTATAAGCTTTACTTTTCCCTTCAATTCCATAATCTGAATTGATGTTCCTGGTAAGCCTATTTTGGAGCAAGAAATAAATATTTACTCGATGGTAAAGCAATATATGCAGTACAGATACAATACTATTTTATGTTTAGAAGGAATATTTAATAAATTCAGAGAAGACTTAACAAATAAAAAGATTTCAGCACAATGCAACAAAATTAGTTCAGTTTTAGTTATCTTGTAAATTTTCACCGTGTTGAAGTAATGACTGCACATATAAGTTGAGGTATTGACGGAAGTCATTTGATGCTTTCAAAGACAGTGCATTGCACAGTCTTTGCTCTAAAAATGAGTGAGTAGCACTGATTTGGATTTCTCTGTTCACATGAATTGGGTTACTGAAAAGAAATACGTTGAAACTATTTTTACAACTTCACCGAAAATAAATGAAATATGAAAACTGAAGAGACTCCGTAAACTATCTTAACCTTTGAGTATAACCGATTAAGGCACTGGTTGATGCATTCAGTGGTGACACACTTATTCTGGGCAAGATGCTTTTTTCGTCAAAAAGTAGCTGCCTGAAACCAAAACACGATTAAGATATTGAAATATCCCTGCAAAATATAGTTCAATGATAATTCATAAAGTGAAAATGTTGCAAGTGTGAAAATAGAACTATACTTTACATCTTTGATTTTTTAGGAATTTGAAAACAAAAGTCAATTTACCAGCAGTCCAAAGATAACGAAAACACAAAGGTTTTTCCATTTGAAAAAGTGATTATAGGTTCGCCTTTATCAGACAATTTACAGGAAACCATTTTAGAATCTAAAAATATAGAAATCATTCCATTCACTTTGAACAAAGTTCTTGCTAATGTAAAAAATAACTCAATCCTGAAAGATTATTTCATCAATAATTAAACACAGCATTTCATCCATAAAGTGAAAAATTAACCTCGTTCACAAAGATCGGCAATGGATTTTCTTGAAACTATATACTTTATATCTTCTATGTTCCTAAAACTAGACATTAAAAACAAGTATAAAATATTTTATGCCTTAAAGACAAAGAAAGTTCGCTAATATGACGCAGATCCTTTAATTCTTTTCTAAGAATGGGAAAGCCTGACCACGAATAAACAAATCCCTGCGATGAGCAAATACACAAGTGGGTCCGATGAATCTGTAACAATAAAGGTATTGAATCAATTGTAAAAAATGTATGTAGTCGTCCGGAAGATGAGGAATATACATGGATACTTCCATCGTAGCAACCAGCTACAAACCAACGACTGTAAGAAAATTAATAAATAAATAAATAGTTACAAGAATTTGCTTATAAGAGTTAAGCAGTAAAATGAAAATTAAACCACAGTATCATAATTAAAATAAGCTCAACCACACTAAGATGATAAACAAAAGTAAAGATAAAGCCACATTTAGAACTTTTAGGTATAAATTTATAAAATAAACTTTGAAATTACATTGTGAAATCATGTGGATATGAAAAGATATGAAAATAGTGTATAAAGTGATATAAAAAGTAACTCTACTTGAAATGACAACCTGTTAGCAGCAACAGAACATACAACAGGGTCCAAATGAGCAGTCCAATGAATTTTACCATCCTTCATGCCACATAACTTAGTGAGCTTTATTGATGGTGCAATTTCAAATTCATTCAATGCATCAATTCTATTTACAACGCACATCTCACTCTGCAACCAAACAATACATATAAGAACTTCTTACAAAATAAATGCTGCAAGAATTTTATGTAGAATCAAGCACAATTATATAGTGGACTTGCTAAAGCCAAGCATAAATTCATAAATATTTTAAATCAAAAATTTTAAGATGAAAAAACTCATAGTCACCAGACTAATCATTAATTTACCGAGGCAACAAAAACCGACAACGAACGCTGCTGCTGAGGAACAGGAAAAGTGATGGAACAGTTATCCTTTAGTGTGACCGCCAATGCTTTAGGAAAAGGAGCAGGTCGCAATATCGGCTCCGGCATTAAATGAGGAAGAGCCTAAAAAGACTTACAAATTTATGAGGCATGAAAGATGACAATTTACAGATAATAAATTAAGATCTATATAATTTACTCAAACCTAGAAATTCGTTCTACAGTTGACTAACTGAAATTTAAACCTTTTCTGACTGTGATGTAGGAGGCTGACAGTCCAGCGTTTCATCAGCTCCTGACTCTGATTCCATCATTTCAATATTGCTAACAAATATTCGGCCAGTACTTTTTGATGGTGAAACCAAAAGATGTACAGAAGATGTTAATGCAGAGCTGAAAAGAAATGATTAATCAAAACTTAAAAGGATTAACCTGGAAAATCTGGCATCAAAAAACCCAAACTTAGGGCCACGATAGTTCACCTGCTTGACTTTGGATTGTCAGACAAAATCAAAGAATCACTTCCACTTGTTTCAGAAACTGTAACAGAACCAATAAATGCTGGCTGTATCCTTCTCTTTCCTGATTTTGTTCGTAGTTCAGTTTGGGTTATCTCAACTTCCGGTTTATTAGGCACTTTTTCTGAGCTATCTATCCTATCTACAAAATAAATTAAAATAGAATATGAAAGATCTAGCAAGCAAAAGAAAAATAGTACATCCTAAACAAAAGGCCTGAGGACTTCATTTCCAAAAAGACTGTCTTTTTAGTCATAAATGAATTCAGAAAACAATAAATATAAACAAGATTGGCACTTATTTTAAAATAAAAGAACAAATCTAAATGACTTGAAATCAAAAAGAAGTTTTCTACAAGCATGCACATGACTTTCTTTACTAACAATTCGACACTATTTTACTAAAAGAGTGTGAAATTAAGAACGAGAACCTGTATGAACCAAGATGGTTCCAGAACTGATGATTTGATTCTCAGATGGTTTTTTAATATCTGATACGGTGAGAGAACTACTGTCAGGGACATCTGGCTGCTTAAAAATTTGCTTTTCACCTTCAAGTTTTTTTAAATCATCAACAAACATTCGGCTGGAGTCTTTAGAACATGGTTGATGTCCATTTATTGCTTGACCAGACGAAAACTGCAGAGGTCGACGGCTGTACATGTGCTCACACAAATCACCCTTTAAAACATTTAAACTTATCATCGGTTTAAGCATGAAAATCTTGAGCATACTGACGTAAGATTTGAGCATTTTTTTATTTATTTAACCAAACAGCAAGGAAAAGTGTTTGTTTTTTCAAATGATATAACATACCATTTCAGATGACGAAAGCAATCGCCCCAATTCTTTTGCATCAAATAAAATGGATTTCACTGTTCCATCCATAGAGCATATGGTTAAATGATAATCGTTCCTATACAGCAATATACTTATATTTACAAAAGTAAATGATTTAAATAATTCATCCACATAAAAAGCTGAATCTATGCTTTTATTACAATTTTATGAATTAATAGAGAGAAAATTGAAATGCTATACCACGAAAAATCAAGTATAGAATGTTTAAAAAGCTTGTATAGCACAACCAAAGGTCTGTCTACATTTGGAAGCAACCAAACACTTAGTGATTTGTCACGACTACCCATTGCTATACAGCTCACTTGAAGGCAATTACCCTACAAGGAATTGTAGAATCTTCTATATTTTGAGGATAAAAAAAGGAACAAGTTTGTTTTCTTACGTGAATTAAAAGTTTGCAATAAGAGACAAGCAATATTACATTAAAATAAAGTTTTTTTAGTAAAATAAATAAAGCTTTTAGTTTCTGTGAAGTTTAAATTCAAAATTAAGATAGTCTAAAAACCTTATAATTTTGATATTCAATCATGCGCGGGCATGCTCTTACTACAGTAACCGCCTTTCGATGACCAACTAAATCTAAAGTTGTGTCCCAATCCTAAACACACAAAACATGGGAAATTTAATATGATAAAATCACACAGATCGAAAATATCACAGTATTATGTCGAAATAACATACCAGGAGAATATTACTTAGTAATCCAAGGTTTGTGAAAACTAGTAAAAACTGTCTAAACAAAATATGGGGATAAAATACTTAACCTTTCGTCGTATTAGATGTGCTGTTGGCCCAGAATTATTACTTGCACAGGGAGCAATTAAATAAGCACCATCCGGCGACCAATCCAATCGACTAAACATAGTAGACTGGCTACTCTATGAAAAATAATGCATGTAGTAACTTGACAAATGAAGATTTTTACAATGAAAATAAATGGATCTTTCAAAATATGTAAAATCATAGCAATTTTTCAATTTATAGTAATAAAGTATTGCAAACGAAAGTTATATTGTTATGCCTCAATATAATAATTTATTGCAGCAAACCACTGACTGAACTTTTGCTTACAAACCTCAACAAAAGGGTCGATGACTGTTTTAATACACTGCCAATTATCAATGGCCCAGACCTTTACCGATTTATCTGCCGACTGAGTTGCCAAAAATTTTCCAATTGGATCCCAACTGATTCCTTTTACGATACCACTATGTCCACCTCGTTCAGATGTCAGTGAAATTACTTGATCTTAAAATATAAATTATCGATAATAACTGAATAACAAAACAGCGGACACATCTTCTGCAAATATATTTCAAAATGTTAATTGACATATTATTTAACGTTATTGAATAAATAAAAGACGGAAGTTGGATGACTTGGTAAATTATGGGCATCCCAAATAATCACAGAATGATCCATTCCACAAGATGCAAGATAGCGACCATCTTTAGACCATTCAAGATGTAAAACGTCCAGAGAATGACCATTCAGACGATATTTCTCGCGATATTTTTCCACGTTTACGGAGTCCTTAAATGTTTTGTACCACGAAATTACAACAATGAACTCTAAATTAAATGCGAAATTTTTGTAATGAAGTAAAATTTTGGAATAAGGTAGAAATTTAACAATTCAAAAGAAAAAAAATGATAAAACAGGGTTTTCCATCATTATAAATTGACTTTTACTCAAAATTAACCTTAGAACCTATAGTTCCGGTACTAAAAACTCGGCCAGTAAATTCCCATAGCGTCAATGACTGCTGATCCCCAGCACATCCAAGATACATTCCATCTGGAGACCAACGAACACAGTTCACACAGTCTGAACAGAAAATTTCGAAAATATTAGAAATCTTTTATATCACTATTACATCAAAATGAATGAATGAGATATTACACTTTTTGAAAATATAGCAAACTTTGAATCAGCACTACTACGATTAACTCTACACTGAATCATGCGATGAATACAAGCTAACAAGACATAAAAGCCGGAATACTTTGATGCAAAATCCGAGACAGTAAACGACTACATGATGCGTCTTGACTAGCCTTCTCATTAATAACCGGTTTAACATTCCAAATAATGACTAATCCTGAGCCCCCTTCACCACCCTGTCCACAAGTCGCAATCTTCGTACCATTTGGATGGATATCAACTGAGTAAATAGCACCACCTATAATTAAAATATAATTAATAAGCAAATTACCGAAAATATCACGGAGAAAATTAATAATACCACAAAATTAATCAAGCTCCTTACATAATTATTGAGTTAATGTTAATGTTGACGAGGAATTAAAAAACATTACATAAAATGACCACAATCTAGAACTACAATTCGTAGAGACTCACAACCAACAGACCTGAGTGATGAATCCATACTGGGTTCGTCAACTGCATGAAAAAATTATCCGAACAGGAAATCCAAATCACTATTACCAATACTAAATAGATTTGCTTCTTCACAAATCCAAACTATCAAGAGCATGCAGTACCAATCGAAATGTAAAATCGTGGCAAATTCCTACTAACACTTACGACAAGAGTGCAGTTACTATGAAAATTGCTATACTGACATTCTATTGAATAATTTCTGCACTTCCTTCCTTTGCTTTTTTCTGCAATCATTTTATTGTCCAAAGATAAATGCTGACTCCTCAACTTTACTATGAAGAGATAACACATGCAATACCTATCAGCAAACAGTATAAGAGAAGGTTACTAAAAGAGCTAAGACTAATTTTTTTATAACACAATAAAAAAAATGGGATAATATGAAAGGATAGTTGGATATAAATTAAGACATTACGATGTAGATTAGGAATTACAAGTAGAAGCATTTCAGTTCAAGGATAAAATTTCTACCGTTCAATAACCAAACCAATAACCTAATTTGACGAGTTGCACTACACATAGTAACTCACAGCACACATTGCAAAACAATGTGTGATGTGAGTTTACTGTGTGGTAAAACAAAAAAAATTCATCTATTCTGAACTTTCTTCTAACAAACTAAGGTCAAGAAAAACCCATCTGCTGATGATACTTGAGTATTACAGAGAAACTAGGAAACCTGCTTTTTCCTATTAGATGCGACGCTGCTTTATCTGCTTTTTGCAGCAATAACGGATTTTTCATATCAAAAATCGGAAAAACAAAGCAAAACTAAATTATTCAATTGCATCACATAAAAATCAAATAAGGATGCACCAGGAATTTCAAGACAAAGGGTACGGTCTGAAGCGAAACAGTCATCAACAAACTCAAATCATTTTATGAAGAAATATTTATTGGCACATATACTCTAGTAAACATAATCTTTATAAGTTAAAAATTATTGCTGTGCACTGTTTTATGACATTGAAATCGAAGTTTATGATCACAAATTAGTTACAATGACATTATAGTTGGAATTCGAGTAACATTGAATTAAATACGTCCTGAAAGCAACTTTTCTCCCTTAGCACTACAGTGATAGATACAATAATCTGAAATTTAAATCATGTCATGTCATTTCCGACAGAGCCTAATTTTTTAAGCTTTGAGTTTCCTTTCTTTCTGAAAAGAAATGATCTTTTGAAATACACATTCTAAAACGCTAACAGGAAGATTAAACGAGATACGAACACTGATACATTTTATAGTGCATGAAAAAAAAATTAGTTCTGTACAAATTCGTATTAATGTATCACTTCATTATTTGCTGAGATTTTACTGAATAGTTTCATTTAATTAACAAAAACGAGCCACCGATACGTTCCGTTTATAACCAATGGCATGAAAAGAATGGGACTAAAAATTAAATGAGAATAGAAAAACTGGTAAAAGCTTCCACAATAATCATCAGCATCAATCCTGTACCAAGAAGGCTTGTTAAAAGAGACTTGCTAAAACAATCTATTTTGCTCTTGCTTTTTTTTTCCGGTCCGATTTAATAAATTTCCTATGGTAAAAGTCATCATAAAATTATGAAAAAACTAAGAAATTACAGGTTAAAACATGTATTCAAACACAGAACTGATCCAATAACTATCCTTAACAAGTATACAATTTTCGGTATTTGACAGTTACTTTTATTTCGAACTTATATAATCAATTCTCTGCGAAGCTTTTATAAAAAAGTCATCTACTTATTATCGGAAACACAATTTTCAAACTGGCATGACCCACCCAACCTTCAAATATTTACACTGTCACATTTCACATGAGTTCCACCACATTTGCTATGTCTTCCACGGTTCGGTTCCATGGATGGTTCATAATTTACAGTGACATCGTTAATTCCGTTGAAGCTCACACTAGATGTATTAGTCTCATATGTGCCTTTAAAATTTTTGAATATGAATGATGGCATGCATCGCAGACGAATTTACAAAACAAACAATATATATCGGAGCGAAATGCATTTCTTCAAATGAAATTTAATGATGAATACTTTAGCACCAACAGATTTGTCTCTGTGAAGATGTTGACAAATACAAAAATCAAAAAACTTACTGAAATAAAGTATAATTTCAGATTCATTTACATATTTTATAAATGAATTTAACTGAGTTGATGCTTCAAATTTTGACAGCGATCTTTGAAAAAATGACGAAATCGTCCATACCGATAGCAGGAACCCTCATCATCAACATGACAACTTTGAACCAAGCGATACTATAATGTCGAAAAATGAAAATTGGAAACACCAAAACATAACCTTAATTCTTTCTAATAAGTTTATGTGTCAGATGAACTACAAAACTACAAAGGAAGCCTGAATTACGACAACTCAAATGGAAAATTAGTTACAATAAACGGGATAAATTCAGTAGGTCCTTGCAGCTCAGGTCGAGCTCTTATTGTATGAAATATTTCTCGACTTCGATGAAATGATTTCTGGATGTAAGCCATTTCTAGAAAACAATAAACATCTGTATTCTAGGGCAATTAATTTAAAGAAAAAAAGAGTGCTGCAAGACGAAACATACGAAAACTAACAAGAATTCTCAGAAAAATGAAAAAGTATAACCTTCATCCCAGGGACTACATCACAACGAAATACTTCTAAAATTTAGTTTCTTTAAAAAAAATTGTGGTTATGAAATATGCTGACTTGTACGAATAACACCGGACGTAAGATTATGATTCAAATCAAATGGGTCCTCGACTGCAATCGGCTTTCGTTGCCAACCTTTGTCCAGTTTTATCAATGGTAATTTCTGCCGAATTTGAATAACTTCTAGCGTGAAATCAAATCCAGTGGCAAAATAATCTAGAAAACCCAGCCACAAATCTCCAACAGTCAATCGATTTTCGGTTTGCCATTTCTATGGAAAAATCATCCTCACAACTTTAGGATCATCTAATTGTGTTCCAATTCAAAAGCAATTCCTTTCTCATTAAAAGGCTAAAAATCAGCACGGAGAACAAAATTTAACATATTAAGCACACACTAATTCTTCCAGTTTGCAAAAATATACATCACAGCCATCGATCATAATTGACTGTTTCTGTTTTCCTTGAGGTGAAATCTGAAAAATCCCGATTATACTGGTATATCAACTTAAAAACAAACATGGAGTCTCTGAAATTAGACACAGTACAAACAATGCAACAGATCATCTTTATAACGATAAAACAATTAAAACAGTCACTAACTTGCTGAAGAAACGGAGCTACAGGTGGATCTGTTCGTTGTAGATAGTGAATGAGCATGATAATTAATGAATAAGATGAAAGATTTCCTTTCGATGCATCGCTAATCCGACACTTTTTAGCCCACATTTTAGCCATAATTCCAAGCTGATGTATGCGCTCATCCATGTCACTGTATGCTTTCAGCAAGCGAGTATTTTCTAATGCCAGCACATTATAAAGTGATAAGCTAGAAAATTTGATGTATAAATTTCAGAATCTACTTGCAATCTACTTTCAAAATGTTCATAAATACACGACTACTATATGAACTTTGGATAATGACACATTAAAATCTTCTATACAAAACAATGAACACTGTTTTGAAATACTCAGCGACATTCTATACATATGTAATAGAATACCCAAACTCACAGAATTATTACAATTTTTCAAGCATAACTTCTGAATATTTAAATATAATAATTAAAAAAAAAGTATATAGAACTGAAGTATAAGCTGAAAAATTACTCTGCTTCCAAATGCTCATGACCATCATCATAGTAATTAAACTTTACAATTGGTACTTTAGCATGTAGAATCTCACGAACAGATTTAACGTTGCGCATCGTACGGATTGCTTTAGCAATCGCTTTCAGTTCTCGTGCTTTATCAGTATTCTAGAAACAGCAAAAAATAGAAATCAGCACGATAAAATTGTTTGAGAGTTTAATCAGCTAAAGATAATGAGAGGAAAAAAAATGTTTCTAGAAATGGATCGACTGTAATTCAAAACATATATTATCTTCTATAAATTTTTTGGATTTTACTGAAACTTACTTCAGGTTCAATACATGATTCAAATCGAACACACATATCGACATCAGAACTTAATAAACCAAATCCATTATTGGCAGAGCCGAATAACGTAATATGACAATCAGGACGATAAAAATTCTTGAGATGAATTCCCAGTTCGCTACATAATGATATCATGCGACTCTCATAATGAGGACTTATGCACATTTGTCCTGCAACAGCTAAATTTTTGAGAAACTGATCAGAACTCCGGAAAGTAATCAATGGCAAACAGACGATTCCTTAAATATGTTTGTCGAGTAGATAAGCATATTTAATTAAGAACTATGCCACGTATTTTTGCACTTGCCTCTTTTTATGATCAAATTCTCTAAATCTTAAAATTTTTGAGTGAATCGAAAATTCCATCCTTTGATTACACTTTTCATTTCATAAATCATTAAACAAAAACTTACCATCAAATTTTTAAAAATTAATTTTGAAAGTACAATCTGCCTTAAATAGAATCAACAGAAAATACACATAGGTAAAAATAAATTTATCAAGTATAAGTCCTATTAATCAATAAAAGCGGAAGTTACCCACTGACAAAGTAAATTAAGGTATGATAGCATTTAATTTAAAGTATACTGAATCTAATCAATTTTTGCTGATTTCTGATGAAGAAAAATATATAGAGCTTTATTTAGAATAAATAACCGAAAACAGCCAAAATAATGTAGTTGAGAACAGCCCTTTGAGAAGACGTTAACGACGGAAATTCTTTGGCTTTTGGGATCATTAGTTTAGGACACGTATCACGCAAATGACCCTTTCTATAGCAGCCAGTGCATACTTTTTCCATTACATGCAAATATTAAATTAAAAAAAAGACATAATGACAACATCATATACGAATAAAAAACTTTTAATTTCGACGCAAGTAATCTCACGGGCAGAAATTTCGAAGTTAGTTTTATTAACATTATAACAAAATATTGCACAATAATTTCAGTTTTCAATTATTCTGTAATAAATCAATTGTGCAAACATACCAATCCATTAGTGAAGCAATGCACAATCCATGGATAATAATAATCATTCCTACTTAATGCTTTCCATGAGCTGCGAACAGATGATTTATCATAGTCACCAAACATAATTAGAAAGGTTGAAGCATTTGCTAGTCTTATCTTGATTATATCCTCAAGTACCTCCTAAATTTAGCCTCGACAAGAATTAAAAACTAATCTTTTAGCCAGTTTTAATTCAAAGAGTTCTACTTACTTCAACAGTGGTGAGCGCTTAAAATATACTTAACTAATTTATATCCAATGAATCTCAGTAGTTATTTTTTGAAGATAAAAGACAAAGATTAGAAATTTTATTAAATTAATACAAAACAGTAAAATGCAAGTAGTTTTACCACCTGCGAAAATATACTTGACAAAATTCGAAAAACTGGAAGATTAGAAATCAAGATTGCTATTCAATAAGACTTACAAAAAGTTCAGTCGAGTAAAAGTTGCATTGTTGCAGATTTGAAGTTCTAGTACCACTACTAGTTTGATCAAATTGAACATCGTCACTATTTTTCTTCGAAAAAAATGAACGGCAAAAGGAAGTCGAATTACAAGTCGGTAACATGCAATAGCAATCTGGGACATTCAAATCTTCATATTTTGGAAATACCAACAGATTTTCCTTCTGATTTTTCTGAAGCTTTCACTAATGAAAACTTATGAGTATTTTTAAAATGCACATGAAACCAAAGAGCTATAATGGAATTTAACACGCGGAAATAATACTTTAAACTAGTGTTGCATGAATACTGCTTAAATTACACTAGTTTTCATACTCAAAGAGTGTAAATTTTTTAGTATTTACAGTGATTTCACAATATTTTTTTTTGTATATGCTTCCCAAGGTATCGCTATTTGTAGATGTTCAAACTTTTTTGAAAGTAATCCTGAATTTCTGAAAATGATTATAACCGCAGATGAAGTAGTTATTTGATTAAAGTATCACCAAAATTTCATTTCCATTTCAAAAATTTTAAAGGAATGATTTAAAACATTCAAACCATCAACTTTATATTCAAGCTATTTTATCATTATTGAGTTCTTTAAATCGGCAAATTCGCAGTACCAAAAAAACAAATTTTGTAATATATTTTAGAACTGACCTCTTTCTGTAAAATGTTTTTCTTAACGCCATCTTCTTTTTGAATAGAAACATCCTGAATCTGAAACATTTTCGAAAAAATAATTTGTAACCAGCAAAATAATGAAATAACTGGAATAAAAAATTACACAGCGCTGACACTTGAAACTTTCAGAAACTTGATATTTGAACACTCAAACAGTACGAGCCAGCTTTCTACAATCCAAAGTAGTATGTTTATGCATTGAAGAAGCAAATTCTTTCAGAATTTTGCTAAAATTATTTACATACATCTTGATTATGTTTCCATATACAGCTTGAATTTGCTGCATCTTTCAAACATCTTTTGCATTCACTGGCATCTATCGTATGCTCCTTGCAGTCAGAAACATTTCGTATACCTCCTGCATTCACTGGTACTTCATTCACTGTCAATCCTCTTACCTCTAAAAAGTAACTAAATAAGAAAACAGAAAAAAATATCAAGAGATTCAATTACATATAAATATAAAACCTTTGTATAAATCAATAACATTCTTTATTTCTTTTCTTTGCTCATAACTCGTCTCCACTTCTTTAGCCGTCGTTGTGTCTGGCTCTCTCTAAAAACGGATTAGTAAACAACGCTTGTGAATAAAATGGCAAAAAAATAGAAGAAAAATATTGATAACCTTTATATTGTGTGAACTGGTGTTACCAAGCAATACAACAGAATATGGTATAAGCGAGTGACCTTCGGTACGAGGTAAAGCAAAATACAGGTACGTACACAGAAAGCAATTCGAAAAATAACTATACATTTGTGATCGTGGCTGCATTATATGACCAGGGCGAAATGGATCTGAAAAATCACGATTTATTATTAAAGCTTCATCTGTTGCCAGAAAAAGAGCACTTTTATTTGAACGAATCCAGTTTCTGATAGGGCAATAAATTATCATAAATAATAAATAAAGAGTATCAACACCAAATAAAAAACATATTGTTCAATAATGTCTAAACAAAAACCTTCAATAGAAAGTCGTTGCCCACTGAATTGTTCTGAATGCTGTCTGTTTGTCCTACGTATTTGTATCAATTCATGAACAGAATGCTCAAAAGAGTAGAATCGGAACAAATCAATCCAAAGCTTTCCGAAATTCCACGTTCTATAGCCATTATTAAATTCGGAATTCTAAAATGAAAGAACAAATGAATCCAAGTAAAGGAAATTTTGTTTGAAGAATTATAGAAACAAACATACTATTTTTTTAATTTGGTGCTCTAATTCATGACTGCCATTATCTAGATGATATATTTCATCTTTAGTTAAAATCTGCAAATAATTTATTAATCGCACAATTTAACTCTACGGGAGATGTCACAAATAATCAACTTTATTGGAAGGAAAACTATTCGTAAAAACAGTATCTGATGTTAACGAACCTAGTTTCTGACAGGGCAATAAATTTGCCATAAATGTAATATTGTCAAGTACCATATTTCCAAATGATAACGATTGCTTAAAGTTGCAAACTGATTGATAGATGCTTTCACAAGTTTAAAAACATGCCTCAAAAACATTTGGTAGTAGCTTCTTCTGCTGTAGATAATAAATTAACATAATATCAAAGGCAAACTTCGGCAAACCACCCAAATTAATATCAGTTAATGTACAATCCTGAAAAAAACGATATAGCTTAAGTAGATCAAAAATCAACCAGCCAAATAAGTAAAGACAAATTTTTGATGCATGAAATTCACAACTTCTAGTTACAATTGTATAATAAAGAATCACTTCCTTGTTATCTATAAATGAATGTTATCAACACCATCGTGTTTCGCTAGCAGAAAAAATTCTCGGAATTATAAAATATATAGAAAGCGAGAAACAAAAATATTCATACTTCCGCCCACGAACGAAAAACAGTATTGAGAATCCTGAATTGTGAAGAAACTCGGCAGTACAAATTCAAAAGTTGAGTCGCACGTTTTTTATGCAAACAATCGATTTCGATAACAGTAGGGATGGAATTTAAGATGCAATAAATTGAAGGATCTGAACGTTCGAAATCAGATCTTACTGAATGAACGGTGAAAGATTTCTCTGAAAAAAAAAAACTTTTAGAGATAAAACTGCATACAAAATTTTAAGATCTTAAAAACAAGCAAATAAAAAACGAAATAACCTAGTGTGCTATTTTTCAGAGCTTTTATAACACGAAATAATCCATAACCACGAGAATATTCGCATGGAATAGTTAATAACAAATTAATGTTGCTCCGAAGAGTGCCTAATTTAGATAAATATGAACCGCAGAGAACTACTGAATAACCTAGAAAATTTAATACTTTAAGATTTACTCTAGTCAGCAATTCTTGCACTCGATAGAACTATAAGTTTTAAAAAGTCAATAACTTAAGGAGTAAAGAATAAAATGCATACAACCATATTTTTTTGTTATCATCAACATTCAGTTATTAATATCAGTATTCAGAATATAATATGCAATGCAATTAAAAGCTACATTCCATAACATAAAAAAATAACTTTCGTGAAGTTGTTTTTGTAGAAATTGAGAAAGTGCGACTGCAATTTCAGATCCAGCTTCATATTGTCTGCTTGTCAATCTATTGGAAATATATATTTCTTTTATGATCTCATCGACTTTAAATAACTGTTCCAAGACTGGCTTTGATAAAGACTCGATATTTTGAAGTGAATTCAGTACCTGTAAATGTTATTATCAAAAGTAAAAGATATAGGTATCATAATCAAGTTATAAAGTGCTTAAAGCTGGAAAAAATAAACACTGAACTGAAAAATTTTAATCGAGACGCAAAAAAAAACACATTTTGGGTTTCTCTGCATTACGGAAATTTTGACCTCTTTATTGTTTATATGTTTTTGAGACAAGTAATGAGAGACAGCCTCAGCAACTGAATATAAGTGGAATTGGCATAATCCACAATAGTAAACAGAATGTTTATAAGGTGATGAATTGTTTACTTCCAATGATGGATAAATGTATTGTCGATCCAAATAAAGCAAAGAATATTTGTTAACAAGAGGTTGAAAATTTCCACCTCAATATAGAAGAAATTTAACAAATAATCAGTTACTTCAATTTAATAAATACCATTAAGAGCAAATATCTTTTAAGAACATTCATCTCTGAGTAACTTACCTTTCGATAACGAACCAAAGGATATTTCTTCTAATTCTTTGACTAAATGAATGATAATTTCATTTATTATTTCAGAAGCAGTATTCTCATGTACGACAGCCGATGTATTTATCTTGCGACCATCACGAACTAGATATTTGGGTCTTTTTATTGATCCATAAAATTTGAACAACATGAGATTAATGAGACCATTTTTTCCTCGTTTTTTAACTACGAGCTAAAAATATAAAGAAACCAAAAAAAATGAGAAAAAAACAAGAAAATGTATGATATAACACAATTAAGACTAAGCGAGTCCAGAAATCACCTTTATTTTGCTTCCTTGGAGAAATTCACACATTCCAGGAGATAAGTTGAATTCAACAGAAGTACTTTTTCGATTTACAACTGGACCATTATTTGAAATCTTAAATAACGAAAAAGCAATGCAAGCTAGTGAATGATCTTTCATACATTTATGTTGAATGATAAAAAAAATTATACATTAAGTACCGGTTGCCAAATTATTTGATACATATATGAAACAAAAAAGCTCCTTAGCTACATAACTCTGCTCTTTAGCATTGGCATCATAACATTCTTTAATCTATACTATTACAGAAATGATTAACTTAAGTTGGCTTTATTTTTTTAGTTTTTTGAACACTTTGCCATCGTATAGATGGCAGAATATAGTAGCAAGAAATATGTTTTAAAAAAGGTAGCAAAATTCAAAAATACATTTAATATTTTGAATAAAAAGGTGAACAATATTCACTTTTTTATTCAAAATCTGCTGGTGCACAAGTCACATAGCCATTTCTCAATAATGATTAATGACTTCTTGAGTCATGAATAATCTTAGCTTATTAAGAACTAATCTGTTTCAAATTTTTTAAAGTGGAATCGTTCCCAAATTTATTTTCATTCATGAGGAAGAAATAATACAAATCAAAACATCTCTTAAGAGTATTATAAAATGGACTGGAACCTTTATAGACTCCTCCAAAATATCTCAATATCAACTTATAATACTCTACGCATAGTAATTAAAAAGTATACGTCAGCCAAGAAACTAAGAATAACACACTAATCAATTGCAGTGTTATTTCTGTATTATCAAATCCCTGATGTAAAGATTATAAATTATTACAGAGAGTTCTGAAACTAAAAATAAAATTTTGATGTTGAAATGTATCATCTTTGCTTAGACCTTAATCTTAAACAGTACAAATAAGGAAATTAAGTATGTTATGCACAACAATTAGCTTCTTAAAAAGTAAATAAGTTATAACTTTACTTAAAAATAATATCTGCAAATAATGATTTGAAGTGAAAAGGAAAAAAACCATTACATAGCATGAAATTATAACCAACCGCTAGATCTGCTTGGCCTGCTACCGGAGCAGTTCTTTGATTCCTCTTCGCGCCTTCTTTTTTCCTATTTGCATGACGCTTACTTCGAACAGAAACTGCTTCAGGATTCTTGTTGCTTGATTTCGCTACCCTATACTGTCTGTTCATTCTCCTTCCCATTCTTCCAAACTAATACACAACAAACCACATCTAGCAGAAGTCCCTAAAACCAAAGTAACAGTTACTATACTAATAATGCCATCACAAGTTTAGAAAACACTAAATAACGCGGCCACTCAGACAATCAAGCAACGAGGAACTGCTTGAGATAATATATGAATAAACCACGCAGATTGATGCATTTTACTTGCATTTCTGCACAATATTTGCATTTTTGCACATTATGTGCGTTTCTGCACTTTATTTGCATTTCTGAGACGAATAAAGTAAGCAAATATTTTCACTAGAAGATAATTTGCAGCTTGAGTATAAAAGGCTAGAAAGAAGAGTCAGTTTTTATTTTTACGTTTCATTAAAATCCCGTCGGAAGTGTGAGCGTGACATGATCAAAGCATTGCAAGTGTTTTTGTTTCCATTTTTGGCTCTCGTTAGCGGTCTCGTCTTAGATGCCACGAATCGCCGCATACGATTTCTTCGCATACCGGATACTATATTGATATTTTTGTTCGCACTTGGTACAAGGTTTATGTCTTGCACTATTATCATACCTCTATAGTGGCGGTGTTCAGTACTGAAATATCAAGAGATAAAATCTCGTCAAGCATTCCAAAACAAAAGGCATTTTCTGAGAACACTGGAATAAAACCCAGAGCCATTAAGTGCAGCGAAAGCAAATTAATCATTACTTATATTATTAACCACTTGCAAGGAGTTCTCTTATTCAGTGTTCACACATACTCTTTCTAAGTAACAACTTCTGGTCGACCTTAATTGTGCATAACTCGTACAGTTACTATCTTTTGACAATGCAGTGTTAATACTGGAAATTGACATCACAGCGAGAAAATTTCCCGAAAGCTGCTCGCTCATTCGCGAGTGAAATTCGCTCTGGTGAACCAAATATAAACAAATTTTATCCAAATTGTAATACATTTGAAAAAATTACTAAAATGTTTCAGTTTCATACTTCACTTATTCTTCCCAGAAGCTTTGATGAGACACATTGATGAAACTTACACATGGAAGACTGTTGAGCCAGGCGTCGTTGTTGGGGTACACTACATTTTCTGACTCTTGATTATAGACTAATGTAATCTCCACGTGAAACGTATCCGAAAATAATCATGTCTATTATATCACACCACTGCTGAGACTGATTGCCACAATTTGGTGGTATTATTATTGAAAGTAATAATGACAAATATACTCGTCATGTAACGGGATTATAGATTTGCATCAAAATGAATAATACAATGTAATTTAGGTCCTTTTACCTCTTCTGATATTTGAATCTGCAGTAAAAAGCAATTCACATCTATTCTTCCGCAAACAATGGCTATTATTTGCATTGACAGCTACAGTATACTTTTTGACATTAATATTGTATACAGCGTTAATGTTGCCCTTTCTGAGAATCATGGACAACTGGAATGTATTTACGGTCGGTAATATTCTTCAAATAGATAAAATATGGTACAATAATTTTAACAGAATTGCATAATGGTAACGAAAGCTTCAATTCTTTCTTTCTTGATATTTTGTACTTGCTGAATGCATTTTTCATTTTAATAAGCTCTAAATTTGCATCCCATACCCATGGCAAATACGAAAATGCTTGCTGGAAGAAGATTCAATTTTTTTTGATGAACCCTTTATTTGTGTATTTAGTTAACATCGATTGATTTTCAAGATCGCACTTATCATTTTTCATGACTGATTCAAATACAGTATTATCTTTGACAAAATTTGATTATATTGGTATTAGTAATACCAATAATAGTTAGTAATGTCACAATCACAGTAGTAAATTCGGCCATGTGTTGAGTTGAAAAGGACACCTGTAGGTGATGCTAATGGGTGCAATTCTGGCCGCAACTGATCCTGTAGCAGTAGTTGCAATTCTGGAAGATATTGGTGCTCCCCAGCGGATCAAAATTCTTGTAGAAGGCGAATCTCTGCTCAACGATGGTCTTGCTATTTTTGCTTATCAAATTCTTCTGAATTTTGTTTTGGTAAAACTTTGTTCCATTTTGATTATAGTTATAAAAATACCATTTAGAACAATGATCATGACGATATCGTTGTGTTATTATAGAAATAAAAGAATTTATGACAAAAAAACTTAATTTCAACGTTATTCACTTTCTTCAAGTTTTCTTTCTATATCAGCATAGTGATTTGGTATCCAATTTTTAGCCTCATTGCTGATGTAAAAACAAAGTAAGGATGTAAATGAAACCAAAACATAATAAAAGGTGACAAAAGAGTGTGTCCAATATTTTCAACACTAATTAGAAATTCGTACTGTAGTTGCGTTTATAAAATTAGCACTTATTATTACTGATTGTTAACTTTGTGTCCGATGACTAAATTTAAGAAAGAAGTGAACTTGCCATCTCATCCGTATACTGTAATGCATTACATCGCAATGTGTATAAGCTGCATCATAATATCTCCTCTGTTGGGCTATACAACAGCTCACATTTCTGTTATGATTATCCGTCACGGCATCAGTGAGGAGAAGAGAATACAGGTTACTGAACGCCTTTCAAGTTTCAACTTTTCCATTTTATTCAATCACCATTTGAATTACTTAGTCACATTAACTTCTCAGACACAATTTCAGTACTCTAAGAGCAGGTTTACTTTTGGTTTTGTTTCAGGCCTGATTTCTTTCCAGAGCTATTTCAGTTTTCTCTGATTACATCTCTGATTTACCGACAAGTTATTATCGTTTTCCTTTCTTTTTTAACTAAACCAGAATCTGCTTTATTTAGATGTTTTTGGTTATTTCTGTTTACTTTGTTTGGCAACTAGGAGAAGTTACTAAAGGATCAGCTGCCGTTGCGACTGTTTTTTACGGTGTCACATTAAATTATTTGAGGTAATTAGTCTTTGTCGTGGAACATGCTACCATAAAATTAAAGAGATTTTCAATATAAAATTCACAAATTTTTGATCTAACACAAAAGCCGACACTCTGTGAGTGTTAATCAGAAAAGTGCTGAATAACTTGTAGAGAAAGATTAAATCCCAAAAGTGTGGAATTGACTTTGCAAATCTGGACAGCTTTCGGTTACTGGGCTAATTGCATCGTATTCATGTTCAGTGGTTACGCTATTGGATTGTTACTCTTCAATAATCCAGTGGAAGTTAGTTCCTCTGATTACATCTCTTCAGCTAATGCTTTAAGTAGCTTTAAGTATTATAATCAAATGAATTAAGTCTGTTAATAAAGATGTTTATTATTTTTTCAATCGAACAAGTGATGCCATGCAAGCAATCATAAATATGATAAAATTTGCACTTTTTTGCTTGCAAGATATCACATAAATTAAAAACTGATGTAATTAAATATTTTTAGATTGATGTCATCTACCACTTGATCTCCGGTTTACTGTTGTTTCCGATATCGTTGGTCGCTCGTATGCTAGCCTTATTAGTATTTCGAGAATTCTGGAATGCAACAGGCAGTTCTCACGTAGTTTACGACACTGATTACGTTTTGCTAGCGTATGGTGGGTTGAAGGGAGCTTTGGCACTTCTTTTAGTACACGAGTTCACTGAAAGTGTACAAAACGATCCATATGCTAGTCGAGTAGGCGAAAAAGTCGTGCTCTATGCTAGCTCTGCAGTTTTTGCGTGTTTGGTGATCCAGGTCCTAATTACTTTATCGTTATTATTTATACTTCACTTCCAAAACATAAATTTTAAACATTTTCAAGCCCCTGTAAAAGTGATGATTGTTAATTTACGTATGCATAAGTCACCTGCAATTTATACGGCATTTACTGCACTGCAATTCACGAAATTATGACTGTCTGAGTAATCTAATAATAATCTTTTAAGAGAATTTATATTCCTTCACCAATTGAGAATACCATTATTTTGTACATTCGTGGACAAATTCCAGGGCATGACATTTTCGTATGTAACGAACCGCGAAGGTACTAATCGACGTTCGCGTTACATTAAAGATTCAGAAAAGAACGTAGAACGTCATTTAAACCGTACTCTTCGCACAAATATTGGAGCAATGCGCAGGCAGGCCGATTCCTATCTCACGGAAGCTAACTGGACTGTTGTTAATGAACAGATCGAAGCTAATGTTTTTAAAGTACGAATTATGATTGCGATTTAAAGACTGCACTCCATTATTTGGACGGCACTTGGGAATTTTTAAAAATAAAATGCAGTCTTCTTTTCGCAACTTTTTTAAATCAAAATTGCGGCCTTAAAACACATGTTATGTCAAAGGTTTTATCATTATTTTGATAATTTTTGTAACTGTAACGTGTCTCACATCTTACACATATTACGCGTTGGTCTATCTGGTTCAGAGATAGCAATAATTTTTTAAATTTCGAATGCTTATTTCATGCTTTTATCATTTAATGCATTTTCCCTTATATTTCTATATCCTAACATTTTTAAAGAAAATGTTCATTTGTGTCTAAATCACCTGTGATTCAAAATTTCTAGGGGTTCGCGAGCAACATTGGACAGTTTTCACGAGTTCAAACAAGTATGTATGATGAATCTGTGAAAAGTATAGACAGTCAGTCAGCTGAAGAGTCGACCGTAATGGTTCAAATTTTTTAACTCATTCTAATTCTGTCAAATCAGCAATGCAAATCTAATCACTATATTTGTGGTATATTTATTCTGATAATTTGATTACAAGTAATCTTTCTTCACTACTTAAACTTTTTTCTTTTGGAATTTCAGAAAAAAGACAACAGTGATGTCTGCATAAGTTATTATAGTATACTTTTGGCTCGAGTGCATAGCTTGTGGACACTCGGTGCTATTTCTGGTCGTGCAGCACATTTGGTGATCGATCTTTTAGAGCACGGCGTTGATGAAGGCAAATTAACTTTGGCTGATTTTCGAGAACATTTAAATTCAGCTGATAGCAAGTGGCATCATCACATTCAATTAAGATTACTCACCGCTTTACGGGTAAAACTTGAGGATTTAAGTCTTAGAGCAATTTGCAGCATTCTTGAACTTGGGTTTTAACAAGTTCAAAATCCAAAAAGTTGCTTAATTGTTGCAGAATCCAAGCATTTGATTTTTCAAATTTAATTTTTCTGAAGAAAACAAAAAGAAAGATCTTTTTTTCTACTCTTCTACATAATCAAATGAAACTATATTAACGTCTAAACTTTTAGTGTTGGATTGATACAGATTCAAAATTGAACAGGCTGAATTGGATTGGCATATCATTCTTGCCGTATCCAGTTCCCACGAATAGTTCGGTCTTGATTCCCGTTCGTTCCATGGAATGGTATATATTTTCAGCTTACATTAAGAACTTTAAAGTTTGACAAAAGAATTTTCTCATTCAGTTTTCATAATATTTAAAATTGCTTTCTCAGATCTTTTATGACTGATTTGGTATTTTTTTGGTATCATTTTGTCTTCAGCAATACACAAATTTTTTTTCCAATTCGTTAATTAATTTACTAAAAAATTTAGGTGGTGCATATTTTCTGCTTTTCTGGCAGTCATGCAGTCTATTCTTATAGCGTTTGTTATTTTCTGGCAACCATCGGTCGGAACAAATGTTAGTTATTCGGTACTGATGCCTACATTTCTGATTGCTTTTGTGTTCTTCGTTGAAGAAGTGGTACATTTCCACCGTTTACGGAAACCAGCGTATCAGATGGTGCGCAACTGACATTTATCTTCAAAATAATTCTTATGCCTCAGTGGCAAGAAACCAATGAATGCGAGAACCCCTAATATGAAAATAGCTGAAAGCGTTTCGTCAAAGGGTTTTACCACAATATTTTTTTGATACTAACCTTCATATTATGCTTATTGATTTCACGATTAAAAAGCAACCGTATTTTCGGACTTTATGAAAAAGTACCGATCATTGGATAATTTTCGAATAGAAAAATATGAAAAACTATTTCGACTTCGAAAAGCATTTATGTCAACCAAAAAACACCCTTGGATAAATTAAAAGTATTTTAAAGAGTAAAATAAAAGGCTTTGGAGAAAGTAAATGAATCTGTTTTCATACTGTATAAGAACATTTAAGGAATTAGAGCGTTTGGATATGCGCTGTTCACAAAGCATCAATCGTGTTACTATTGAATTCATAATATTTTTACTGTACATATTCTTGATCATCGGTATTATCACAGTTATGTCTGTTTTGTTGGCTAAATATCCAAATGGTTCTTGCATACAAGATGATGGCCAGTGGAGAATTTTATGTAAAATTCATCTATCACACTTTTGATACCCAATCCCACTAATAGCTTGCAAAAACTATTTAACGAAAAACTAGGAATTCAAATTAGCTTGAATTCTGATTAAAATACTATTCCACCAAAAATATTGTTAACTCTCAACATTTATCACCAAATTTTGAAAGCAACAAAAGTGATTTTTTCTTTTGAACAAAAAATTTTGAATTAAATTACAAACAAACTACTTTTCAGCAGTCTGTAATACAATGCGTTTTCTACTCCTCACATTATTGGTACTTTTGGCATTGTTAAAAATACTTCGCATCACACCACTGTTTGTTTTCACTCTGCATGAAGCACTGTACACTGCAAACGTACGTCATTTTCTAAAAGCTTCACTTTCTATTTATTTATTTCAGTACTATAATAAACTTTTATCTTTTGACTATTTGATGTTGCAATCGTAGAAAAAATGATCTATAAAAAGTTTTGAAATTATTGTTGTTAAGAATTTATGGATTGTTGATATTCAGCTTTTACGTGTTCGCATTCAATTGTCAGCGTTATATTTTCTACAATTTCTATTGAGTCAACCACCAGCAAAGTTTACGTTTTTTCCTGGAGACTCATACCAAGTCGCTTTGGGTGAGCAAAAGCATTTAAATAAAATAGTGGATGCTCTAATACGCAAGGCAATGAAACAAAGTAGAGAAGTTCTCGATTTAATTACCGTAATCAAAACTAAACAGGCCATTCGAATGGCTGCACAAACATTGGAGCATACTGTAATTGATTTACAAAAGTTGGTCCAGTTTCTTTCTGATAATATTTTGATTTCAGTAGAGATGTAATATCTCACTCTCATTAATATTGAAGTAGGCAGAAAATCTAATGAATTCTATGATTAAACTGGGGAAATTCCTACCCATTTATGAGGGAAACAATTTAACACTGAATAATGAAGTATTTTTTGTCAAATCTGATTTACTACAGCCACCAAAGCTGTTACTTCACATTTGCTACAGTGATCCATGGGTATAGTTAGAAAAAATCTTTAAATTTTTATTCTTTCGACTTGTTCTTATTTCCATTAATTTTTAGGCAAGGATTTTTGCACCATGAATCGATGCAGCAATGGGAGCGTTCATTGGATCGCTTACGTGATCGTGGTGAACGTCTAATTAGTTCGCCAGAATGTAGTTTTCAAGATGTTTTAGAGGCTGTTCATTGGATCCAAGCCATAGAAAGCGACAAGAAGCAAGATTTGATAGATAAATTAGTAAAATACTTTGAAATGCAACCTGAAGTTGAACAGCCTGGTGGACATTTAGTGCAGACATTCGAGAAGACAATGTATTTCATCCGGAAAGGAATTTGCAAGTTAATCATTTCTTCTCTTCTGTAAAAAAATAAAAGTGAAATTATTTATGTAAAGTAAAAACAAGTAGGTACTGATTGATTTGGTTGATTAAATTATGTCATCTACACACGAAAAATACTCTATGTACTTGCCATGTATTCAGAGTGACCGAAATGACATTATCAAGACGTGGAAAGGAGCATAGGCATGATTACTATGTGCATCAGGGACGTTTCGTTGGAGAACGGAATTTGCTGGACAAAAATGATTTTGCAAGTTTTGTTCTGCATTTATTCATACCATAAAATTACTCCAACTTTCTGATCTCAGAAACTTAAACATATTGTAGAAAAGAGAAGAGAGAATAAGTATTGAAATCTGCAGAAAATCAGTCTTAAATCAGACTTTTTTCTGAAGCTAATTTTTATTTAAATTAAGAGTGGGGTTTCGGAAAAAACCAGTGTTGAATCTATTTTAATTGTTTAACATATTTAATATTTTTCGTCTATAGAACTCTTGTAATGGCATTAGTATCTAAGGAAAATTAAGATTTAGAATTCAGTACTGCTAAGGCTTCCGGAAAACGTGCCAACAAAAATTCAGTTGAAGAGTAAAATTTTCAAATTCAGTTAATTTGGTAACGCTGTAGGTGTTCCTGCTGTTAATTTTATAATTAAAATATAATGACCGCTTAAATTTTCGCATCAAAGAGAAATTAAACATTAATGATGATAGTAAAACTCAATGAGGAAATTTTATTAACAAAAATAGTGTAATGACTTTCAGAGACGTGAATCAGTAAAAAAGCCAAAAGTTGAGTATCGTACTTCAACCGATTGTATGCTTATTAAAGTTGATGAAGATATTATGGACTTTATCAGATCATTCGATAACTCAATAATTCGGACTATTTCACGCAAAGAACAAACTCGACGACTTATATATGAACTTAAGGAGCAACAAGAATCGTAAAGTTTAAATGCAGTTTAATTTGGAGAAAAATTGCAGATTATTATGAAAAATACTATTTCCAAAAATTTTATGAAATTTGCATCGTAAATACCTTTTACAATAGAAATCAAAATGGTCCCACACGTGTTTCAAGAAAATACGCTATAGATTATCGTAAAAATAGTGAATATCACCCAGCAAATTGAAAGTAAATTGAAGTCAAGTCCTACAACCCAATTGCAGATTCGCTTTAATTACATTAGATGACTTCGAGAAATTATACATGAAACGTGGATATTCAGTAAGTGGCCGAACAGATGTTGAAGTTGGGGCTGGACGGAAACTAATTGTTGGATTTCGAGCGATGATTGTTTCTGTGAAACCACCAACAAGCTTAGACAATAATTATCATATTCTGGGACCATCCGTAGTCACTTTGAAGCCTGTTGGTGAAGATGTAAATAATTGCTCTTACTTTTAAAACATTTTAAAAAGATAATGTTGACTTAAAGAACTGAAAAGATCTATTCACAGAAATTCAACTGATTCATATTAAAGTTAAAAGTTTGAAAATTGTCCTTATCAAATTACTCGCTATTATCAAATTACTCGCTACGAAATCAAATTATACTTTATTTCATTTCCGGGAATTGGAAACAAATCTGTATGGACTATTTTGTAGGAAGGAATGGCTGTATTGATCGATAATGATCGCAGTGTCGATCAGCCAACTTTAGATGTTGAAAGTAATATTTCACTGGAAACGGAAACAGAAGAAGTGGACAAAATGCTCTCGAAAAAGAAAGTGAGCTACTGAAACGCAGCACTCAGCTCGTTGCATCCGACATTGCTTTCTCAATTTCCTTGCATTAAATAAATGCAAATTGTACTATTTCAGACTAGCATAAAGAGGAAAATACTGTCAACAACAACAGCCAAACCTGTGGTAAATATTGTTCAGTTTCGAAAGAATTCATTTTTGATTTCGTGGAAGATCTCGCTACGAAATCTAGAATTTGAGTTACGCTACAAAGCTTAGCTCACTTGTCGAATGAATGTAAAGAAGTTCAAAATCATAGCGAGAATTGCATTGACTTCGATATTTTGATTTAACTTCAAACAGAAATATTTGTGGAAATGAATTGTTCTTAAATACTCTTCCTCTGAATTGGTATGAAAAGTCAAAATTTTTGAATCATTTTTAGCAAACACTCCCCGCTATACTTGAGAAAGCAAAATTACTTGGAGAATCAGGAAAGGTACATTATAAGTTGCTTCTTATTTCATCTATTTTTATTCTTCATCGTTACCTCTCGCTTCAAAGTACAAACCTCTTTCGTACATCTCACGTTTTGCATTCTGTCTACTTTACGTCACATTGAGCTGTTTATAGATAAAAACAGAAATACGTCCAGTTTCGGAAAGAACTCAGCTAACAAAGAAGATGACAATGATAAAACCAGTATTGTCATTATCAAGCAAGGGCGGAGTACGTGGTCGAACTTTAGATACGCAAACAGATGAAGTTGAAGAAGACATGAAGAATTTTGAAATGTGGGGAAAGAAGAAATCAAAGCTGATTCAAGACAAGCGTCAGATTGAATCTCAACTCACTCAGGAACTAAGTACTTCTACAAGCGGAAAAAGTTCAAGCGTTGAAGGTGAAAATAATTGCACATTCTTACATCAAAAAACATTAACGTTTGTCATAGTAAAAGTCTAAAATTTTTTAGTAAAGAAGACTCACAATCATTAAGTCGATTGCTACATGTAATTACTTTTGCTTATTTAGTAGAAATCTCTAACAACGTTTAATCAATGTCAAATTATGCAAATTTTAGTGATCAAATATTAAATTTGGCTCATTTTTCAGTAAAATGGTGTCCAGTTGTTTCTTGTACTAGTAAAGCGTACAGCAGGAGATTATTTTGTTTTAACTTTGCCTAAAACTCTTACGTGACATAAATACGAAGTGGAGGGGATGAAAGCAAAATATAGCACTAGTGGATAGGTAGTGTACGTATTACTTAATGCGCAGTTTCTACACGGTTCCTATTTTCAGGTGTAACAAAGTCGAATGGAAAAAGAAAACAAGAAAGGTGAAAGCAATTGAAAATGCACATTCCCTCCGTATACCTGTGCAAATTTTAAAAATTCTTGTTGCTTAGACAAAAAGATTGTGAGATTTACGGCAAAATTTTCAAATAAAATTAAAAGTTTACAGCGAAATTCAGCAATGGCACAGTTGATGCAGCAGTTCTTTACTTTATCAGTCTTTGAGATAAGTGCTGGAAAAACCTTCGCCACACGCATTTCCATATTTACTTTCACGATATGCACGGAGTATAACTTTAATCTAAATCACTATTACCTGAACTTTGATCTTTTTGCTCATAATTTCTCGTTGGAAATATGCATATTATGACTCAGTCATGTTTGTTCCAAACATTTGCTGAATTGCTTCAAAATAAAGTGAGGAAATCATTTTTCAAAACCTTATCTCATAGGATTTGATATCAAGTCACTGTCCTCTGAAGCCAAGAGTTATTCATTCAAAACCGCAAAACAAATAATTTCTTTTAGTAGCACAAAGATGTTGCCAATAAAAATAGATTTTACATATTTGTAGTAAAAATCACAAAACATTATTTCAAAAAAGACACTTGAAGAAAGAGCAGACGCTAAAATGTAAGGCAGTGTAGCATCTTATATGAACAAACACAGCACAAAGTGAATACACAATGTTCATTTTATAAAATCTGTGGATATTGCTTTCTACACATTGAATTATAATTATTTAGAGTAGAGAGTATTTGTAGTTCGCTGCGTTTTCTTTGCTGTCAACGAGTAAGTCTAAATTATGAGACTCACTCCCATGCATCTTAGCTTTTCTTATTTTTTTCAGGCATTCAGATATTACAGTGAAAATTTACTGACTCATAATTGCGACAACAAAGTTTAATATAAATCGAATATTCAATTCTAACTGCGTTCGGAGTACTTGAATTTAATACACAAAGAGACGACAATTCTATTACTTTTTTATCTCAAATAATAAAAAATTTGCAATTCTAATACTAACTTATTCATAAATGTTTTTCTCGGCTGTAGTAATAATATAATAAAGAATTGATAGCTCTGGAATATTTATTATTATAGCTTGCACAGCAAGATCCCAATTTTTTGAACTTTCAATTTTTTGCAAATTTAAGATTTTTCTAGCTTTTTCAAGTTTCGTTCGAAATTTCACGAGGTGTTAGATAAAAGGTGTGGGTAGAACCAGCGTCCTCCCTCATTATCCGTTTTCACCTGATACTTGGCCCATTCCGGAACGTATAATCGCAAGCAGTTCAGCCGTCTGATGCCAATGGTCATGTCATCTTCATATTTATGCAACCGTTGGATTGCATAATCAGGCAAACAGAAATCATAGCAATTGGAGCAAATTGAATCTGCAAAATATTAAAAATTCAAAGCATTTTCAACAACTAAATTATCAGAAAAATGAAAAAAGTTTTCTGCAAAATTACTCAGTTTTCGAAAAATAATTTAAAAAAGTGCTGAAGATATTGCAAAAAATTTAGAAATAGTTAAATCCTTAAACAATACAAAGTAATCAATTCATTAATTGATCGCAAATAGAAAATGCAACTTAAACGCTAAAAAAATTTAATCTTTCTGAATCAAAAACTGATACATTTTGTATACCAAATTTGGAGACTTACACAATTTTAAAATAACTTTAGATTTTCATGAGATAGATAATTAAAAAAAACCTAAAATTATTTTTTGCAAGTATTTAATAAAATTGTAGAGAAGTGTATATGAACAAAAAACGTTCTGCATACTTCTCTTTTTAAAATTACAGGTTACTTTACTTTGAAACTGCAAATTTTTAAACTTTGGATTTGTTTTGATACTTTCAATTTCAGGAAATAGTTGCAGAAAACACCTCGAGTGTAAACTGTGTGCTTCAGTATGTACCATTTAGCACCAATGCAATCACCGATTTTATCCGTAAACTTATGCTCAGCACTTGAGGTATCTATCGGTTCTGCATGGTATTGCCAGTACTCTTGCCAGCCATATTCAGAATGGATCTCAAAAGGTGAAAATCGTTTTGGATATTTCATTCAAAGTCATTTTCAGTGTTCTATTTGAAATTTCCGCAATTTAATGGAAAAAGGCATTTTGAATTGTGTGTGCTCAGAAACTGTTTGCTTGAATATTCAGTTACTTTACTTTATACTGAAACATAGAATAGTTGGTGTTAACTGCTAGAAGATTGCAAACCTCAGACTTCACGGATGAGAGTGCATCACGTAAAGTTGAAATGCTTGGAATAGCAGAATGATCGAGTGGCATCAAAAAACACGTGGAGTGCTTCCCTGAGATATCGGCTAATGCATGATCTGCTACTGCTACATAATTCTGCAAATTTTTCATTTTGAAAAATATGTAATTCAAGCATAAATGCAAATAAAATGCTCTATTTTCAATAACAGCTAATTTGATTGAATTTGTTAGAAGGGAAGTTAAAGGAAACAGAGTACTCTTAATTCAATTCACCATTTAAAATTTTCCAAATTTCATTTTTTAGTCAGTGGTATTCAGACTGCATGATTTTCCTCCTCCTCTATAATTTGCTTTTAATATTTTACTTGCGAAATCAGTAAAATTTTGAAAAGTTAATTTTTGTAGAAATGCCTTATATATCGGATTAGTAAAATAGTTTCTCTTAACTTTTGTTTTTTGTGAAGAATTTTGTTGAAAATGAGGGATCATACTGTTTTGAAGTCGATTACAGTAAGTGAGCTGCTTCTGAAGGGCGCTTTACCGTTGAGTTCGAAACGAACTTGTGAAGAACCACGAAAATTTACGTGAAGTTCGCTAGGAGCCTGTCTGTATTGACCGTTTGGAGCACGTTGACGACACTCCTCGCAGATAGGTGGATAGAGCAGTATAGTGCCAGTCTGAATTCATTCAAATAACCTTTCCTACTTATGCTTTTATAATTTTATTCAAATCACATTTAAAAATCACAAATTTTTAGCTTTTCACTAAAAAATTGAAGTAGACTTTGTGATTTTAGTCTTCAGTTTTCAGTAATCCAAACATACAGGAAATATGTCAAAACTTTTTGTGCACAAATTTTCATATCTCACTAATGCTTGTATTTACCTTCTGCAACTCAGTTCTTCATTCGCAAAACTCCTATGCGAAATTTTAAAAAAACATGGAAATTTTCGATCCCTTGAAAAATGTTCAGAAAATATACAAAATTGTTTTTCAGAAACTAATAACGACTATTATTTTTTGGCAAAAATAAAAATGATGTAATAAGAGAAACATTTATGAGGAACTCTCTACTAAAAGTACCATTTACCGAGAAACTCCCAAACAAGGCGTTCAGCACAATACCAAGTAAGATGAAAAACAGAGTAACCAGAAGTATAAAAAGTAGAAGAAGACAAACTGAGTGAGGCGTCCACGTTGTATTTCTGAAAAAAATCGTATCTCAGAAATATCGAATTTGTAAGTTACATCTTATTTGCAAAAGTATTTTCTATTCTGCCTTTGAAATTAAATGGCTGGAATTTAAAGGACATATAAACTTACATATTTGCAGAAGACATATCTTCTCTTTGCTTTCACTTTAAAATGCGATAAATAATGCAAAATGACGAGAATAGTTTTGTAAAAACAAAGTTAGATTAAATAATTTGTTTTCGATATTCCAAGAAAATACACCACTTTAATTATGTTGCAATTCTACTTCAATAGGTATTGGAAGTTTAAATACTCATGATTGGATTGCATGGTTTAGTATAAAATTTAGCCATTTTCAATTCCTTAATCAAGTCACAAAATTTGCACGTAACAAAAATTATCAGTTCATAATTCTTATTTTAATTTATGCTAAATAATACATTACTGATCAATAATAATAATAATAATAATAATAATAATAATAATAATAATAGCGAATAATAATAAGTTATTATTATTATTAAAAATGAATAATAATAATAATGAATAATAGTAAATAATAATGAACTAGTTATGAGAACCTGACTCGAGAAGTAATTTTCCTCCAGAACTGCGTTATGTGACCCATTGGAGTAAGTGTTTGATCGGATGATTGAAAACATGACCCGGCAAAACCAGCCATTAATGAAGCATCTGATCGAGGCTACAATATTAGTTCTCTCTTTTCTGCTTTTTGCTTCAGTTAATTGAAAAGTTTGTTAGATTTGAGCGTTTATTTTTTACTTTTTGAAGTGAAAAAGTGAAAAACATAAAGATTAGTTCGAGTTGTCATTAAAACAAACGGCATAAACTTCTGCTGAATCATCTTGTTGTCCTATTTGCATGCATTTATAACTGTTCTTTCGAGTTATACCACTGAAAGTTAAGATTTCTCTAATTATTCATCTCATTACTTCAAGAAGCATCAAAGTAAAGAATTTATTCGCGAAAGGGAATGAACTAAAATTGCTCAAATAGCGAATCTTTTAAATTGTTATTATTCCTATTTGCTGTAGTGATTAGTAATTATATCTTTATTAATGATAATATTACTCATTCATTAAGGCTGCCAGCTTGATCAAAGTAATATATTTAAATAGATGAAGGAGGCATTTGGAAAAGTTGAAAAGAAAAAGATAAAAAGGAGATATAAGAAAAAGATATAAGTGATAAGGAGGCTCCCAGTTGAAAGTTGAGCAAGTTAAGGCCATTTTGAGTGACCACTTTATTTCATAATTACTTTTACTTTAATTTTCAAAATATCAGTTGAGGAACACTTTTTCTAGTGGATCAAAGCCTGCCATAATGCCTACTGTAAGGCATTTTGATTCTAAGACTGAAAGAACAAAGAGAGGAAAAATTGATGTTACTTTGAAGTATTCAAATTTCTGAATCAATACTGAGATTTTAAAGTTTATTACAAAGAGTTTTAACCAAAAAAAATCGAAAGCCAGTATTACTATAACTTAATGGAACTAACACATCTGAAGCAATGCGTCGAGAAATTTGCCTTTCATTCGCTGTAGGTGAAGGCAAGGTATAAACTGCTTGCCGCTGATCACTGCCAATTCCAACAGTTGATCTAAATTTAAAAATTAGAAATCATAATGCTGTGACTTAAACGATTCAAGTTAAAGTACTTGATTGAATCCCACTATGCTCATTATTATGTAAAAATTTTGAGTGAATGACCGACCTGCTAGAATTCAGGAAAGCAACTTCTTTCCTGATCGCAGACGGAGTCATTTCTGCACGTGAATCTTCGCTTCGCTCCTGAATCAAAGTAGTTCGATGATGTTCAACCCCTCCGTAACCATGAACTCGTTCTTGGTCTAGACTTCGCTCTGTTTGTTGAATTCTCGATCCTTCTCCATTAATCAGACCTGTTCCATGGGTTTGTACTATTCGTGCGCCACCTTCTGCAAAGTACCTCACTATTAATGCTAATGCAAGAATATTTGAAAATTTCACTTAATATACTTGTTAATAAGTATGAAAATAATTGAAATACTGCACTGCTCGAACAAAAAAATTATTATTATTTCCCCACAAATCTAAGCATTCATCATTTCTCACATAAAATTCAATATTAAATGAATTAACTCGAATGAATCAACCTGACGTGTGAACTTCATGAACATCATATCCGTAGGAATCAATATTCGCTCGGGACATATCCAAATTACCAGAGGGTCTAAGGCAAGTCTTGGGCACAGTAGATGAAAGCGGTTGACTGCTTGATGATAGCCCTGTAATCTTCATGCAAGTTAGGTATGGAATTCAGCCTGACTGTTTCTTCGGACACTAAAATTTGTTAATGACTTTGCATTCACTTTGTACATGACAATCATCAGAAAAAAAATGAATTAATAGTTGGCATCTTCCTCGTCCTCATCATTTTTACAATTTCTTATTTCTTTTAACGATGAAATACGTAAATTCACGCTGAAATGAGCTGCAGTAACAACTTGGGATATCTCTAATTTCAGTTTAAATTCTGGCTTAAAGAAGTAAATTTTTTTGCTAAAATATATACGCTTACTAAATTTGTATTGTAGCAAAAATTTTGGATTGAATAATTACAAATAAATATAATTAGCCACCACCAATTCATGCATACTAATACACTTTGTACAGCTTTCGATCTACACTTTTGAATTATAAAACTTATTTAATATTTCACCTACTAATCTTGTTGAGTTAATAATGATAAAAGCCAGCTTAGTTTCCTTTCCATAACTGTTAGAACATATTTCAGCATTAAAAAGTGCTAAAGTCTTCTAAGACTTAGATAAAAGATTGATAGTGGCTTTAGTTGAAACAAGAACTGAAATGTGATGATTACTCTAAGAGTAATGAAGCCTTTAAATTTTTGACTAGGCTTATCAATAGAACTTGTGTTTGACTTAGTTCTCTAAACACTTGCTTATCTATGGAAAATTTATTTAAATTCTTGTTGGGCATTCTCTTCTCTTTTCCCACCGCAAAATTGCTTTTCAAGTCCTCTAAGATCTCACTTTTCCTTAAGTTATTAAGTAACTTTCGCTCCATTTGCTTGACTGTAGAAATCTTCAAGCTAATGTCTTCCTTTAAAGTTAGGAAACAAAACCCTTTTGCCATTTAGCAGTTTTCGCATAATTCGTAAATGCATCAATTTTATCCATGAACAATCGCGACAGAAAGAACTGATATTTATATGAATAGGAAGAATGATCAAAAAGCTTAGTCTTTTTAGGATCTACAAAATAATGTATATTTTTACTTGTGAGTATAAATAAATGTAAATATTCTAGTTTGAGATGAATAAGTTTGTCTTTACCACACTTAAACTAAACGTGAGTACTAAACAAAATTTTTAAAACAAACTGCAAATTCAAGAATTTTAATTAAATTTTGGTGTAAGAACTTGAATTCTTGAATTTGTAGTCTTCTAGATAAAAATTTCTTGTTGAAATAAAAAGTTTGGAAATTTCTTCTTCAAAGGTACAAAAACTTCAGAAAATCTACTAGAATTTATTTCTTCAAGAAGAATTTAATATTCAATATCCAAAGCACTCAAGCGGTTCCTTCTTCAGGGAAATGATTTGGAAATGATTTATTTTTCGAAAATTGAATTAACTAATTTACGATATGTTTGCCAGACTATTCAGAAATGAATTAGTGGCTAATTTTTCTCTATATTTTGTTTCAATAAAACTTTATTAAAGCATATTTTTTGAGTCTAAAAAATTATTCTATCAGCCAATTACAACTTGTAATGAAATTAGACATATGCAAAGCTTTCACTGCAATACATTTCAAGGAGGAACTTATATAATCTAAGCAATGGAATTATCTATTCTATCGCTATTTCAACAAGAGATTTTCATCTGAATCGCAACAAAAATGAGCACTGAAAAGTTGAAAACATGACACTTAGTCTGCTTCATTATGTTAATTTTCCAAAAGCATACCGAATCGCAAGTGGACGGAACAGTCAGCTTTGAAATGTATGAGTGGAAAGCAGAAATTAGAAGCCAGAAGTTAAAAAGAAGGCAAATATTAGACAAATTGGCTATGCATAAATCCCTAAATTACCACATTCATTTTTTTGGGACAGTCTCATTTTCAATATTCATTTTTGACAGACTACTTGTTACTTATTCTCATTATCGATTCAGATTTTTACCAATTCATCAAGACAGTACGAACATATTGCTTACTTGTTTACAATACTTTCTCAGTGCACTCGAAATTTGTCAATATTACCTGATGTTTGCATAAAAGACGCATCTCTACTGCAGTCCCTTTCTCCTGTTGCTAAATATCTGAAATTGTAAAATTATTTACGCAAAATTGAAATTAAAGCAAACGCGAAAAAATTCCGAGAAAATAATAGAATTAATGATCTGAATGGATATCAGTTGCGTACAAATAGTTTGAAAGGCAATTATTGAAATCAGAAGAACTTCGGGTCAGATATGATTTTATGTTCTGAAAAGTTACATCATTTCGTTCCTCATTAACTGTATTTATCCGATGAAAAGTATGCAAGTATGTACATGCCTCTGTTCGTCATCACTGTGAAATGCCGACGAAACGCGCGGTAAAGAATTTTGTGATGTGTGCGAAAAATCTTGAAATGCGGGTATTTCTTCATTGTAGCGTCGCTCAATAGTTTCTTTAAGAATTTCCTTCAGAGGGCCATGGGATCCCCCAATGCCCGACAAACAGCGAGATTCGCTCACATAATGCTCAATAATTTCCTCTTGCTCATATTTTCTTCTTGGGAGATCATAGTCCATCTGAAACAATCAATTCACTATTATTTAACGAATAATATGAATGGTGATTAAACGAGCATATGTGAACAAACTTGAAGTTGCTTTAAAGTTAGCCGTTATAAGTTAACTGATTACAAATTATCATCTGAAAGAATATTTCTAAAGATATCTCAACAGAAATCAACACTAAATAAAAGCTACAGCATAAAAGTAAGTTTATATAAACCTGTTTTCAGAAAAATTATGCATCTGCACATGTGACACATACCATAGATAATTTCTGAGGTTACTTTTTCAGCTATAATTTTTGTTCCTACAATAACACATAAAAAAGTTATGGCTTGAGATGCTAGTAAAAAAGTTGATGTATGCATCAAAATTACGTCTGAAAAATGTTAGGACAAGTGAATTACGTCTTATAGTTGGAAAAGGAATACTGCACCAACACTTCAGCTTAGAAAAATTACATTTATGACATACGTAAGTCACGTGCAAGAAGAGAAATTACAAATGGCCAAACATAGAAATAACATTAAGTAGAAACTGCATACAAAGTAAATATATTGTCTAATTGCAATTTACTGAGAAGAGTTGTTGTTGCTGCTTTAGCTGCATCAAATGTAATCCAAAGATTAAAAATTCGATTTTGGATGATCAACAATACAACGAGGGAGAATCAATAATGCTGGAGAAAATAAATAGGAAGTTATGTACACAGTAACAAAGGAAAAGTATGACGGGCATGCAAATTTCCGATGAAAATTTGGGTAAGACATGGAAATTTAAAATTCATTTAGCATTTGATCAATAAATAAATAATATATTTACTATTTTCACAAGTAAAGGATAATAGTAATTATTAATAATAACAATAATAATAATAACAATAATCATATTCATCATCATAATCATAGTTGGAATATTTTTGCAAACAGTCAATGATAAACTCAGTCAAAAGAACCGATGTGCAAACTTGTTCAAATAAGTCATAATATTGATTTTCTCATAATGACTTTAATAACTGCTGATAAAAATTTTACCTAAATTTTTCATCAAAGTTTTGAATTTTGTGTGGTAAAGAAGCAAGTCAGAAATTTTCGATGTGAATAATTTCGAATACCTATCCCGTTTGTATCGAATCCAAATAAACAATCAACGCCAGCTTAAGAGCGAATGCAATTTTTGTCGTTAGTTAAAACATAGATGAACAGGAAGAGCAATCATTTGAAGACAAAATTTTATTTCAGTTCATTAACCATTCTATTTTTGTGAAGGTTACAAAGGTTAAACGGCATTCACTTGAGGTATATATAAGTGAACTTACGCTGATTCTTTTTATATTTGTAGCAAATTTTTTTTTCGGTGAAACCGATATATGTGAACAATACTTTTCAGTGCATTTTTTGAGAAATAGCTTCAAAATTTGGTGATATTATTCTTGCTCCTATTCAGTATAACTGATTATTAAAATTTTATTATAACCTCCGAATTCTGATTAAATATCCGAGAACGTTTCTTGTTTGATGTGATACAGAAATGAAAACTTGACAGATATCCAGAGTCTAACATAGAATTTCATTTCATTTTAGGTTGTTGCAGATACGTCGCTGCAAAAAGTACTGCGAACAAGTAAGCACTAATTGGACATCGCATTGATTGTTTGTTAACTTTGCTTTGGTAACTCGCAATATTTCTCACAAAGATTCGTTGTCAAACAAATTGATTTTTCTGAGTAATTTTGAAAGCTTTTCAATTCCGAACTGTGAAAAGAAATAATTTTAAGTGAGAAGTTTGGAACAAATTTTCTTCATTTTTCAGATCAATTCACTGCATTCTTTTCATCGAGAATAATCAGATATTCAGCCTGCTCTTAATCTCGACTTTGCCAACCAGAGCAGTACTCAGTCGACGACATTCACGCCAAGAATCACTCATTCTTCAGCACATTTGTGACATTCGCTCTATGACTGCCATCAGGGAGAGACATGTCAGCACAAATGAAATGCTGATGAGAAAAAACTGAAAGAGAGGAAGCGATGATCAGTGATAGCAATAATAATTGTAATAAGTAATAATGGTAATAGTAATTGGTAATTGCAAATGAGTTTGATAATGTGTTATATGCAGTTTTTCAGTTTTACTAAGAGTAGAGAGAAAGAGGACAAAAAACTGCATGTCAGTTACTACAAAAAATGAAGCATAGGAAAAAGAAGTGTAGAAGCATCGATGTAAAAGTAGGTGAAAAGTTAAGATATTAATTTAAAATCGCTAGAAAAAGCCTTCAAATATTGAAAACAAAAATGGCAACATTGAAACTTACGCAATGCTTTATTCCGTTTGATAATTAACACAAGCCACTACTCTTTGCTCTACTTAAATATATGTTTCCCATTTGTAAGTTCCAATTTTTAACTGACCTAAAATGAATGACGTCCAAAATTGCGCACTGATTTATAAATTTTGATTCCAAAAAGGACATGTTAGTAACCATAACGACCCTTTCAGTCAATAGCAATTTCATAAATAAATCTTTGTTATTTCAACGAAGACCAAATATAATTATTATCATCAATTTTTTTTATTACCCTTGTCATTTATTATTATTATCATTATTATTGTTATTAATTGATGTTAAACAAAGATTTTATTATTATTATTATTATTATTATTACTGATGTTAAAATTAGTAGCACATTTTTCAGTGATAGAAATAAATGTTATTTTGCAAATTACATCTATGGCAGATTTTTTTGAAAAATCGTTGTCATAGAAGCTTAAAAAGTAGTTAATATTAATGAAAGCGACCATTATTTTTACCTTTGGACCAAGTATAACAATATTTGTTGCGCTTTGCATTTTTAAATTTTGATGAAAATGGAATGTCTCAGAAGATAGTGAGTGACAAAAGGTTGGCAGCGAAAACTTGAAATGTTAATTCTTGTGTTCACTTGACAGGATGAAATACTTTGGGTGCGAATCGACAAGTATTTCAGATTTGTTAATTTGGAGATTACCAGTTGAAGGAGACATAAACTCGATAATAATGGATTTTTTCTATGGCAGCTGCATATATTATTCGCATGAGGTCTTTTTGATGATAGTTATAAAAATTTAAATCAAACGATTAGTTAAAAAACTTTTGTAGTTTTATCAAAAAACTATTCAAACGAGTAGTCAAAATTTTTATCAAAACTGCTTAAATAGTTGAATGCGCCCAATGAACTATCCGTTATATTAATAAACAACGTAACCGAATTGCGACTTGCAAAATTGTCTATACATTAAGTTAAAGGTTTATTTGGTGAGCAAAACTGCTTCAATCTCTGTATAACTATCTTGAGAGATGATTTTTGGAATAGTGATAAAATTGGTATTTTAATAATAATATGAGTGATATTAAACTGTGTTCAAAAAATTTTCGTTAGAAAAGATAACAACTTCAGGACGTCGCTCATTTCAGTCGTTCGAAGAAAATTTAACAGCACTATATAATTTTGTTAAAACCTAAATAAAGTCTTTGGACGAAACCTTTCCAACAAAAAATTATGAATTCTTAACTGAACTAACTTTTTTAGTTCCTTCGCCAGATCAGTAATTCAGGTAAACGCCTTACTAGACCGCCATATATACTGCTAAAATATAAAGAATATAAATAAGTTTTGTAATTAAGTAGAAAGAGAGCAAAATGTGCAAGCAAAATACTGCAAGTATCTAATGGAATTCTGAAAACAACAGATTGCATCTCTATGCACAATAGAAACTCTAAATAAGACTTCATGCAAATCGAAAAAATGCGCAAATTTTTCCACTGCAAATTTATTTTTTGACCAAAATGGGGGAAAAAAGAATTAAAAAATAGGCGGTTGAGAATCGATTATTTGATTTTGGACGTAATACTGCAGCTGAAAATTTTAGATTGCCTCGCAAAAATAGTACTTCCTGTCTGCAAAAATGCAAAACTTGTATACTGGAACGAATTTGAGATTGAAGCAAATCTAGCAAAGGCATTTAGAAGATTTGACTTTTATCGTTTTTAACATTTTGTAACAAAAATGTTTATTTGGAAGACGATATCCTAGCAGTGGACGTTTGATTTCATTCTTACGCTTAATAAATGGAAATTTTCTAAATATCACATAACCATTTAAAGTGTACACACTCTGCTCATTATTTTTTAATACCTTAAAAATACTTATGACAATAAATTAATTAAATTATATTCTTAGACTTATAATTTTTTGCTGGAAAGGTTTTGACCAAAGAATTGACTTTCCAGGCAAAAATTTCGATCAAAGAGAAACACGGTAAAACTTTTAGAGATAAAAAAATTGTAAACCCTTTTCTTAGAACTAAACTTTTTGCATTTGCAATTTTAAAAAGATCGAAAATAAATTTGCTAGAAAAACGCATTGCAAAACTTTTTTGTGCATATACTGAAAAACACTTTAAAGTTAGGAAATGACTAGTAGAAAATAATTGTCGTTTCAACGACTGCCTTTTTCCAGTGAGAGTAATAATTACTCTGTCATAATGTCACGCAAGTCAAACTTCCCACAAGTGAACCAGCTGAATAATGCAAAGATTTGTATGTTCTGAGAAAACTGTAAATTCATCATATGAATATGACAAAAAATATTCTACCTTCTACTTAATTGTGACTTTGAACTTTTGTCAAAATGCTTATCGCAAGTTCATATATCACCACTACTTTTATAATTTTCATCTTATTTTTAAGGTTTTACTTATTTTAAGTTTATATAACTTTACTACATTCGAAATGCCCGTGATCAACTAAGTTTTACAATCAGTATTGGATCTATCGTAATCGTTAAATGAATTTGTTATTGAATTATTTTCAATCGTTGAAAATATTAATGATCATTGAGAAAAACTTGAAGAAATTGCAGCAATAACTTGAAAAATTACTTCTGTTTAAATTTTGAATTTAAAATGGAACTGTCATTGAAAAAAGAGATCTTTAGTACTCAATCAGGAACTCTTTCTAGCATTTCATGAATGAAATGAACAAATAATTTTTAAATTTTGAGCCAAGCAATGTCGTCAAGTCTCTTAGAAAATACGGAAAATAAAATTAAGGAAATGATTCAATCTTAAACAGAACTTGAAAAATCACCATCAAAAGGCACTCTGAACTGAAAAAACAACCTAAAGTTAGCCAAGTGCTGTCATTTTTCAAAAATCTAATCGAGAAGTAATTTTCGTTTTAAAATCTTTCCAAAGTTATTCAAGTGGAAATTGAAATTTGTCACGAGAAATACACGCCAGTCAATGACAGCATAATTTAGGCAGCAAATTAAAATCGAAATCTGATCATTTTTTTTAACAAAATTGAAATTGTTAACTTACAAATTAGGAAGTTGAAAACTTTTATTCAACATCATCATTTGAGTCAATTTAATTTTATCAAATTATTTATAGAGCTTTCTTACAAGCTCGTTTTATCCAACCTTTTATATCCAATTTTATCTGACATGTTAAATTTAGGATAAAGAATCCAAATTCCTCAACTTATTACGTACAAAGACTATAAAAAGCTGTACGGAAAATCAATTTAAGATTTCGTTTATTCATTTTAAGGTAAAATGGAAAATTATTTACAGCAGGAATAAATAAATGTTATATGCATGAGAATAAACTTCTGCCCTTGCAATAATTTTTTATTAATTAAGATGAAATTAAATATTGTTCTTCATTTCTACTAATACAAACTGAGAAAGAGTGATTCACTGACTGAATTTATGATTTAACTGAATAAGAATAATGATGTATGTCTGGGAATCAAAATGGGAATAGTTTTTGATTGATTTTTGGAATATATAAAAATGCAAAATAATGGGCGGCAATGATTTGTCCTAGTTTTGGTCATACAAATGACCATTTCAAGTAGGCCAGTCAGCATTGGTAGTATTATATTAGTAGTAAATCTCTTTAATCATTTCGCAAGTTATAAAACATTTATTTCAGTTTTAAATAAAGAAACTTGTGCAAGTAACTTTGAATCGTCCTGAAGCGATGCATTTTCAAGTGACTGCTTATTTGTCAAATTGTTATTAGAAATATCTTAAAAATTTGATTAATATTTGTAATTGAAGTAGTCATAAGATTGAAAATGAGCTGGAAAAAAATTTGTAAGCATCATATTATATATTAACAGACATGAAATCGGTTCGTTTGTTCCTTCTGCAATTAGTCAAGTGCGCATAAATAATTTTAGCATTATTTATATTTTGTGTTAACTTGCTAAACTTCAAGCATAAAATTAAAGACATTCATCAAGTATCATGCAGTTAAAATTGCAGATGATATATGACGCAGTATTCATTATTTCTTTCTAATTTATCAAAAGCAATAGTTTGACAGGATGCGGAACTAAATTTCGAGTTAAATTCTATATTTCAATTATAAACTAAAGTCATCATAAGGCTCACAAGTCACGTTTTGAAAGAAACTATTGAAGCAACTGTATCACAACAATAATAGTTAATGGTATGACAGTTCTCAATTTGGCATAGGTTAAAGAGTTTTCAGCAACTTTTAAACATAAAATCAGTTTCAAATTGCGTCCGAAAGCAAAAGCAAATAGTTAGTTTGAATAAAGTGATCAATTTTTTAATATTTATCATAAGTTTCGAAAATAAAGAATGGGGCTGTAGGATTGATGAAGAATCTGTCTTATCGAGTTTATCACATCATCCGAAACTTCTTTTTGTTAATATCAGTGAAGGATCAAAATATATCAGTAATGGCAGGTACTCGTATCAGTTACTGCTGATTAATATCGCTAAAGTTTTCGCTAATATTTTGAGTAGGGAAAACTATGATCAAATATAATTATGTGCTGTTCATGCAGTCATTGCAAACATCTCAAATTTAGTAAAAATTTATAGTCTAGCAGAAACTATTATTATGTGTAGATATGTGTAGGACTATAATGATTACATCTCAAGTAACAATATAAATTTATTTGGATCTCAGAAATGTGTAGTGAGAACAACTTTCTTTTAATTCGCGAAATATAATCAATAATTTAGATATATTTACAGCAATTGTGAGATTGAAATTAATAAGCAGTCTTGAAAATTGCAATGAAGTAAAATTTCATTATGATGACTTTGTACTGAGATTTTATCCAATTTTTAACTCTATTAAGAACAAATCAAATTTATTGTTCACTTAATTCAGAAGAAAAACTGGTAAAGGAAATGGTGCAGAGATGATGAATTAGATTTTGCATGCAGATATTTCTAAAGTAAGAACTGTACAATGTTTGTTCAGCTTTTCAATTAAAGTTTTGAGAAGTGTGAAAAATGTGAGCAATGCAAGCAGTGGTAACTGAATTAACGATCTTCACTTCATTTATTGCGTACTTGTAGTATCCTTTCTTTCACTCATGAAATTTACTGCAATGAAAGTCTTTAATCTAAAAAATGGAAAAGTAGAAGAACATTTATGTAAACCAACCACCAAGGAAGTGAATTTTTTTGAAAGAGGAATAAAGTCAAAATGAAATTATTAATGGAAATTACGCAGTTCTTAAGAGAATTTTCCTTTTCTTCGTGAAAAATTATTAAAAAACTTTAATTTCAAACTTCACCAAATACTCGTAAAAAGTTTCAGCCTATTAGCACAACTGTGATTTAGTCAAAATTGTAACTTATTGTCACTAATAAATTAATTTTATATCGCTATTCATTTTTTGCAACATGTAGCAGCAATTTGCAGCTGTCATGAAGAAATGCTGTTGTCATTTTCTAGTTTCATATGATTTAGTAGTAAGGATAGCTTATCATCTGCTATCACAATTCATCACTGATAACAATTAATTTGTCAATGTTAAGCAACACAGTCTACCAAATTTCTGTTGTGTTTAACTTAACAATTTGAAGTACGGAAGTCATTTCATTGTTTAACTCGATTTTAGTGATGCAGTTTTTCAGTTTAAGCATTAAGATTGAAATGGCTGGGTGAAACAAATATCATCAGCCACAAATGGTATGAAAATTTTTTGCCTCTTCTGAGGTAAATATTTTTGGTCTGCTTAAGAAGAAAATATGCTTTTTTTGACTTAAAGTATCTAAAACTGCTGCTACAATTTTCTTCACGGTTATGACTTCAGGTTTTAATGTGATCATTTGAAGTTAGTTCTGAGTGAGGCAGAAATTAAGTGAAGTACTGCAGTATTTAACACTTCAAAATAATTCAAAGAATCATTCAAATTAAGAGTGAAAAGCTGTTTCTGGCTTGCAAATCCATTTTTTCAGATAATCGAACAAATTGTTGAACACATGTCTTAAGAAAAGGCATTGAGAAAAGACATGCAATAAATCAGCAAGCATATAAATTAGAAATATGTTCTAAGTTATGAATAAGTAAATTGTGTATTCAGAAAAATTTGATGGATCAGCAAAAACTGTAAAATTAAAACAGCGAGAAATAAAATTACTGCAATGACAAGAAAGGTTTCATTTTGTCTCACTGTAAACGTAGTTATTTGCTTACAGCACGGGATTCACTGGTTAATTGCTGCTGTACGAAATTTCCAGTCACTAATCACACTTAATTTATCATAAAAAACCCACTGATTACCAATTATATCACTTAAAATCAATATAAAGAAAATATTCAAGTTGAATAGTCAATCCATGTACTGACTGATTAGTTCCTCAAATGTTACCTCCTAATTTTCTTTCACTTGTCACATTTAGTATGAAAACATTAATTTTGTTTCTCAGATACTATCTAGAATGAAATTTAAATGTATAAGCGTGCTTTATAAAGTATTCCATTCTCTACATGAATAATACTCAGCTTTATCATAAAAAACCACTGAACTTTATCATTAACTTTATCATAAAAACCAGAAGTGCTCAATTACCGCTTATCATTGTGATTTTTAGAAATACTGATGAGATTTTCCATTTTTTGAGACTGCTATTAAATTCTTGTACAGTTTAAGCAATCTAAGAGGCTTGACAACAACAATATGATAAAATATAAAGCAAACTATCTATCTAGTAAGTCAACAGATCAGCTTAATAATGTTATATTTTTACAACGTCAAGCATTAAATCCAAGTGATTGATATTGGAAATGGAATCACGTAAACATGATGCAATGTCTACGACTATGTTTTTGGTTCTTACATTTATAATGCATATAACCATGATGGATGATTTAAATCGTATGAAGATGGATGGAGACACATTCAGTCCTTGTTTTCACTACTAGAGCACCATTTCAGAGAAAGAAAGCGTTATTCAAAGAAATAAGCATTATGACCTGTTTATTCAGAAACTGCAAAATGACTCGTCAAATGCAAACAAAGAAGTGTTTGCATTTATTCAAATTTGTTGTAGCTAAGACAATTTGCTCTGGAAAACTGCGCGCTTTTGCTTTTGGTGTTTTCTATAATAAAACCGTATGTAAAATTTTTTGTAAACTATATAATCATTGACTGCTGATACTGTGAACTGAAGATGTTTCGACAATTAGAAGTTATTGTTGTTTTTGATCTTTTATGTTTGCCATCTAATCATTAATTTTAGAGGAAAGTGAAAAACATTTTGTCGTTATAAAATTATAACTTTGCGACTCACTTCTTTATGGTTTTGTAAAAGTTGTTTGCATTATAACTGGTTATTGTTCATAAATTGTCTAATAGATGTTTGAAAATTAAATAAATGAGAATTACTGTTGTTGATACTACTATTTGTTATTTCGTTTTGCGTAATTTACAAAAATAACACTTGGCAAATGTGCAGGCATGTTGAAGTGGTATAGTAGCTTAATATTTACTACCATCTCCGAAAGAATGTTCTGATTACAAATCACTGTTAATGCACGTCTCAGACGATTTAATCATAAAAAATTCTGAAAATAAATTTAAATAGTAATTATGGAAGATTTCTGGAATTTGAAATAATAAAATAACGAAAACTGCCACTACTGACTCATGACCAAACCAAATGTGAACTGAACACTGCAGTGAAAATAAACACTAGTGAAGATTTTTGAGCATGAAAATATGCATACGAACTAACACATACTTTTTCATAGCACTTTTAAGAAGATAAGGAATTTGATATCTTTTCATAAAATAATGACAAGAGCACTTTTTGGGAATAAAGGTTTGATATTTACAATAACACTGCTTGCAAGAACGCAAAAATTGATTTCTCTCAAAACTCTGCAGCCAAAGGCTGTTAGCAATCAACAACACGACACAACAGAATATCAACTAACTAGGCGAGAGCTGACTTAATTTGGATATAGAGATGGAAAGTATCATCCAAGCACTATGCCAGTGAAATTAAGGCCTCCAAGAGCTAAGCAGTTGACCGGCAATATTTTTTTGCAATGAGTGCATGATGCTAGCAAATAGTTTATTGACTACAACATATTTTTTTTAAGGGAAAAAGAGCCGGGAGAGTGGTGTTCATTCAGCTTTATGGAAATATTTTATACTCATCACCACCACATTCTTCCAGCCTTTGCTCACCTCCGTTCAACTGTTGTGCAGCTAAATTCTTCTCTTTAGCAGTGCCACCGTGCACCGAGATTTATCAATTTAGAACTAGTTCAGTACATCAAAGAAAGCATAAATTCAAATTTTAAGGGACTGATTATGTCATCATCACTGTCTATTTTGAGCTATCTCAAATATTCGCCCTATTGCTTTCTGATACCCTCTTCTCACACTGATATGAAAACGATCATCTGGTAGTAAACAATTATGTAAGCCCTATCGTATTTTCAATCAGTCGATAATCTGAGTAAATAAATCATTCTGCAGTTAGAGTTGAATTTGAAGGTCGAAAAGTGCCGACAGGTTGTGCTAAGAGGATGAGTGTGAGTAGTGATCGTTGAACTCGGCGATGACATTTACTACCAGTACTACAGCTGCGATTCATTTGATATTTATCTCCCAATGATCAAATGTTGTGACTTCATCGAGTGATTGACGCATATTCTGTTTATTTTCAAGCTGTGCTTTACCTTCTTGTGATATTTCCAAGCTTTCAACTCACGGTTAAATTATTGTATTCCACGCGTGAAATGAAATGTCTGAAAATTTGATAATCATTGCTCGCTATTTAGTGCTTACTCCATCTTCGTCGATGACGCTTGTTCGAGAAATAGACAGTTTCATAGACATAGAGAGACACATAGATACATAATAGGCAGAGATAGATAGTAGATGGATAGATTGGTAGATTGGTTGATTGATAATAGATTAGGTATACAAAGTAATAGTAAAATTAATAATAATATCACTTTTTGCCGTCGCTTTGTTTCGATTTCGTGTCAAATCTTTTTAGTCACTTTTTTACTTTACTGTTTATTACTAGTAACTGTATCTATCTCTTTAAGTGTATCATTTGCATTATTCAAATTCCATCTTTGCTGCCTTCAATATTCTCTCCTCGCTCTTCTCTCTTTTTCTTAATTCTTTTTCGTTCATCTTTCTGTTACTCTATGCCTTGATCATTGTTTGTTGATTACAAATTTGGCTCGTTTACGCTTTTCGTTTATTTACTAACCTTTTCATTAATTTTTTATAACATGACCCTTGACCTCATGATTGAAAGGAAGGAATCTGCAGGATTATTTTTATTTGGCGATTCGTAGGATTACCAAATAAAAATTTGCTGTTTGCAGATTACTTCCATTTTATTGCCTAATCATTTGAATGAATTTTAGATGAACTGCAGTATCATATCTACTGTATATAAGTAATCACATGCGCAAATTGTGAGACTGAAGGTGCGTGTTTACCTTTATATTTCAATTAAGAGAGCAGAGAAACTCGTAAATCTTGCAAGGAAATAAATCATGATTCACGTGGACTACCTGAGAGTACTATTTTGCAGCAAATTTCAGATAGAAACACCCGTCATGATTGGTCTCATTCGCTCTGTTTCGATCATCCCGTCATTCCTTCCAATGACATTTACCAGACAACTGTTGTTTGTAATTTTTTTCCCTTCATCCATCCTTACGCATAATCCTCATATATTACTTAGCACTGCTTAGAGCACATCTGTTTTTAATGCCTTTTTATGATCGGTTCTTACAGCGATTTTGCGTTCAAAAGTGCCTCATTTTTCATGCCAATTAAATTTTTTCTGCATCTTGAATCTCAACATCTATCATGCGTGTCTTATTCTAGATAATTATAGCTTATTTCATTTACGTCTCATCTCTAAAGTCCCATGCAAGTTCATGCGAGCTCTGCTCACTATGAATAGGATTGCACTTTCTGCGAACATATTGTGTACAATCCTCTCTGAGTTATTTTGCAAAGACTTGTGTTTTGAGCTGATCTATGCTTGCTCTTATCGTTCTCTCTAACATCATTTCCGATTTCTCATGGTTTCTGCGCGTTGCTTCATATGAAGCGTTTCAGACAGGCTCTTCAGCGCATCTTTAATGCCCGTCATTAGGGGGCACTAGTCATTACCAATTAGGTTTTCATAGCCATATCAATTGATTTAATGTTTTTAAATCAGCAGTTATAATTTGTTTTCCCAAATTTTCTACAGTACTGCAGGTGTTCAATACTTTTCGTTGAGTTTTCAACGTTAAAACTTCATTGTTAATTTTATCTTAATAAGTTTAGGTTTCCTGTAGGTAATACGCTACTTGTGTTCTATTTGTAAATCAAATTGCTTACTCAAATAATGGGACCGAAAACACCTGTTAAAGTGGCACTTGTCGGCTCTGGGAATTGGTTCGTTCAGCTCTTCTTCATTTACTTTCTATTGCAAATTAAATTTTTTCATCAAAGTATTTTGAAAATAGTAAGAAGTAAAAGATTCGGACTATATATTACCTTCCAGTTATACTAAACATAATATACTATATATATAATTACTACAAGATATAATATGCTTCTTGTGTCTAAAATATTACTAATGTATGTAAAATTTTTGCAGGGGTACAGCAATATCGCTGATTGTTGGAAAAAATGCAACCAAATATGTGGATGATTTCTACCCAGAAGTACGCATGTGGGTGTATGAAGAACTGGTGAATGGCATAAAACTTACTGAAATAATCAATATTCAGCATGAAAATGTGAAATATTTGCCGGGAAGAAGGATTCCACCAAATGTGGTTCGTAATGCTTACCAATTTGTAATTTTTCTTACTTTTGTCTCGGTTCTGAAGTCTACATTTACCTCTACAGTTTTTTTTTTTGATATCTTTTTGTTATAAGATCATCGAATCAGATTTGAACAAAATATTGTTCAAATTTGAAAGGAGCTAATTATAAGCTTCCTGATGATAATTCACTCCAAATGTTAATCTTAAACTTGAATCATTTATTTATATCTCATATTTTTGCACTGACGTTTCAAGACCAAATTTTTGGGATCAGCATAAATTCAATAATCATTCAAATTACAGGTTGCTATACCAGATTTGGTGACAGCCTGTAAAGACAGCGATATACTGATCTTCGTCATCCCACATCAGTTTGTGGAAAATGTTTGTAATCAGTTGAAAGGTCATTTGAAAGAAGGCTGTCTTGTAGTTTCACTTATAAAGGTTATGACGTTTTCATTTTTAAACCGTTGGAGGTAGTTCATTTTTTTTCTTAAAAAAATATTCTACGTCATTAGGTGTAGGAGCACTGCTAAATTTGAAAATTTGGTCATTATTTGTGTACGGAACACCATTTGTCATTTAGGGTTTTATGGTTCAGAAAAAGAAAGGTGGAATTCGTTTGGTCACAGAGGAAATTCGAGATCTGTTGAATGTTGATACAGCTGTTTTAATGGGTGCAAATTTGGCCCAGGAAGTAGCGAACGAGGATTTTTGTGAAGCCACTATCGGTGAAAAGTTGTATTTTTTGGGAATGATTGCATGGTTCTCACAAATATAGAAATTTAAATTACTTAGTATTTAGGAAATCTGTAAGATACCGACTAAAAGTGATGATAAGAGTAAGAATAATTGAGAGACGACAGATGTATGGCACTAATTCAATACATTTTACCCAATTAATTTCACTACTTAATGATTGTTATTTTCGAAATTTATTTATTAGTGATTCTAGGTTGCAAAAATGAAGGTAATAGATGGTCCATTCTGCAAAAATTGTTCGATACTGACAATTTTAAAGTTACTTTAACAGAAGATGCAAGTACTGTTGAGTTATGTGGAGGTCTCAAAGTTAGTAATTTCTTATTTTCAGAGAAGCTACTGAAACAAATTATCTTTGAGTGGGACTTATCTCTGTTATGCATTTTTTATAGAATATCGTGGCGTGTGCTGCTGGTTTTGCAGATGGCCTTGGTTATGGAAATAATACAAAGTCAGCTATAATTCGACTTGGATTGATGGAAATTACAGTGGTAATTACCAATTGTAGTTAAGCTACAAAATTCTTTCAGCTCCTGTCATGTTTATTCAATATCTAGATAAAAAGGAAACAAATTTAAGCTTCAGTTGATATTTGAAAATTTTTACAATGACAAAAGAATGTGTAAAGCTATTTCTTTTAGAAATTTCAAAACTGTCTGTGTATTATAGTTTGTTGAACTATTTTATCATGGCTCAAATATCCGAACTTTCTTTGAAAGTTGTGGAGTAGCTGATTTGATTGCAACATGTAGCGCTGGTAGAAATCGTAAAATATGTGAGGCATTTGTTAAAACTGGAAAAGTATGTTAATTAAGTTTATTTCGCGTCTACTGAGCTTCCTTTTGTTGATTTATTTCTTCTCATGCTTCTAAATTTCCTCTCGTTTTAAAATTTATAATTTAAAGTTAAAGTTTTTTCTCGTATATTCGTTTGAAGTTGAAAGTGTTGCAGTTTACTTCATAACTAGTATTGAGCAGTGAAAAAGGCTATGTTTGTTTTTCATTAGTTTCTTTTAAAATACTGAAATATTTTTAAAAGTATTAAAATGAAATCATCCTTCAGAAAGTTGTCATTTTTGGTTCAAGATCTGTCAAGCAATTTTATTAGTTATCAGATCTATCGACCTTTGGTTTCATTTTTTAAAATTGTAGTCTATCAAACAGTTGGAACAAGAAATGCTGAATGGACAAAGTGCTCAAGGACCAATGACTGCCGAAGAAATTTATCTTATGTTAAAGAAACACAACATGGTCACAAGGTACTTATTTCTTCAAATGACAGTATCGTAAGGTAATTAATCTGTACTCATATTACTACTTACCAGTTATTAAATGGAAGTCCAGCTGCTGATACAAAAAGAGTGTTCTCATCAGATGTATCAGTATCTGGATATTTTTACTGGGAGGTAATGATATTAGTGCAGCCAGGAAGAAAAAAGTGGTTTATGAATTAATCCTGTTGTGAAGTGCATTAAGTCGAAGAAGAATTCAGATAATTTGGGGATTAAAATGGCTATCAGATGAAGCCGTGTTTAAAAGGGTAGAATTTTATCCCATTATTCTATTATAATTGCTTTATTTATGCTGAGCATATTTTAAATATTCATTTTTATGTATATAAAATTTATTTCTAGATTTCCACTATTCTCAGCAGTTCATCAGATATGCCAACAGCAAATTTCTCCGGATTGCCTAATCAGATCTCTTCGTGAATGTGACCCCTTATATTGAAAAATTTATCAACATTTCTAAAATTCCTATTTTTCAATAATGTTCTGAAAGGAGGTATTCTCATTCAGTATGCCTATAACCAAATGTAGTTTTTTATTGATTTCATATCATTTTTTTACTCTTGTTTGAATTGCGTTGTATGACAGTATGAAATTCCTCGCTCATGATATTTTTGTTCTAAAATGTAGTGATTTATTTGATACTGTTGTTGCTAACTGTTAACTGGAATAGCTTACATTACGTTCAATTTAAAACAGTTGTGATCAGGAGTTGAGTTTATATCTGCATGTGAAATGAGAGCATGAATTGCGATTTGTTAACAATATTTTGATTGGCGATAAAATAATTTATAAAATATTTTCTTTCAGATAACATTATGAATCACCAAAATATATCGGGTAAGAAATCTTGGTAGTTCAATCACATTCACGTCTTCTTATACTTTTATGAAGTAATTTGTCAGCAGAAGCCATCTGTAATCTAAAAGTTTTCTCAATGAAATGTTTGTCGGTATCATGTTATTCTTTTTTGTATACATTTGGGACGGAAGATCTAGAAAGGTCATATTTCTTTCAGGGACTACAACTTTGTCATGGCAAACTTCTGAAATTCTTACTATTTCAAGAAAACTGTGTGAGTGGTTAGCTCTTTCTAGATCTTGCAGAAGAATGAATATGCTTCACTATCTTTATTTCAGCAACATTTGTTTTTCACTGTGTGAAGTAAGAATATGCTGAATCATGGCGATGATACTTTTTGTAAATGTTCGCTAATTTTACTTTCAGTGATAAATTAACTGATGCTGTTGGGTTTGTTCTCTATATAGACATCATTTCAAGTCATTAGATACCAGAGTTTGAGTCAGAAATATTCGTGAAAAGTATAGCAGTTAAAAGGCTAAGTGCTGCTTGTGAGCAGTGTTTTGGAAATGTATATGCATAATGGTTTATATTCGCTTGTGATTGATTGTTCGGGGAAAATTTTGAATTTGTTGACAAAATATTTCATAAGTATTCCGAGAGTTCTATTCGGGTATCTCTTTTCTTCATCATTTTACATATTGCGTGTTAGATTTATGGATTCACTGCTCTTTAATTTACAATCATTCAGAATCAGACTCATTACTTTCACACTTTTTTCAGTTTGCCTTTAAATATAATTTGAAAGAGGTGAGATAGATGCAATTCTATGTAGGAGGTATTGCAAGGGTGATGAAAAGAGTAAAATTAGTACGACTTACCTTGACAACTGCAGTTCACTTGTGCATACGTTGATAGCAAATGAAGTAATAAAAGACTAATAATTTCAAAAATCTTTGAGTTCAGCAGAAGTAATGTTACTCAAGCTGCAAACAATGTGAAGTAATAGTCAGAACCATTTTGAACTTGCAAAATTCATTGAAAAGAAGCTCATTTTTAGCGCTCGTTCAAAGAAGTGGTACGATTTTAGAATTATTCGAGTTTTACTTTCAAGTTTGGTACAAATAGAAAGGTCATTATGTATTCTACGTGCAATGAAAAAGTCAGTGATTGAGCACACCCGATTATTAGTTGATGTAGAAACTTCGATGTTAGTGCTCAGTACTGTAAAATTTGCAAGTTGGGAAACTTGGCTGATTTAAGCACAAGCCAAAATGGTAACTTAAATTTGATTACTCCTCATTAGATTTATTTTACTTTACAAACAAATAATAGCGGATTAGTACTTGCCGCTTCGTCTGATTATCCTACCTTAGTTTATAGGGACTAAAATCAACACTCCGTCATCTCTTGTCGATCTGGACTATTTCGGTACTTCCATGCATCAGTGTTTCATGTACTGTTATCAGTACTGTCGATTCTGAATAATTATTATAAGTACATTATTATCAGTGTCAAATATCAATTGTTATTACATATTAACAGTACAAATTTGATACTATCAGTTACTAGGGCATACTTCTCACGACACAAATTATTAGAGTATGTTTATACCAATTTAAAAGGATATGAAATCTTAACAAGCGACCCTGATTGGAGTTACGTACAGTATTGTGTTCCTTATTTATGTTCTTTGCGATACTTCTACGTTGTAGCAAGTTTGAGCAAATATGCCTTACCGTGCGCCGAAGCGATGCTCGCGTAGATGAAGCCAAAAGCATGGAATGGTAGCTTTAATAATTGTATCAATTACTATCAGCTTAGGGTGTAATTACTATCTTATCTTTTTCAGTATATTCCTTTTCTCCGACCATTGAGTTATACATCTTCATTATTCTTCACTTTTTAAATCACGGGACTGGAAAAAAAATATGGAGGTTAGTCTTTTCCAGCACTGACAACAATATTTTTTTATTAGGCACTATCTTTTTTTGCAATACTTGTGGTAATACTACCATTATCAGCAAGTACTACTAATGCATATCTTTGCTGGACCAATAACACTGAAAAATAATGCTGGTGTACAACAATTATGATCTTGACGACATTTCACAAATTTTCATTGAAATGTTTGGAAGTGAAAGTTAAAAATAAATGCCATACACTGATCATGATGATAATATTACATTTGTAATTGATAGTGATAATACTTGCAATTACTTCAGCAATAGTCATATAATTGCTTATTAATTTTTTGCGGCATTTTTCAATAAAATTTTCACTAAAAGATTTTTTAAACTTTCAAAGACCAGTTTTAGTGTTGCAAGCAAACTTATTAATCATTATATACGTTATATTACAACTATTTGATTATAAAATCAAGCAGAATAGATTCTTCTAGATCATATTATATGGAAATTCGTCATGTTGATAATATTCTGAATTTTTACCAAATATTTTTGTGTATACTGTGATGAAAACTATTTGCAGCGACATTGAAATATTAGTTTTCGCAGTCATGATTTTCATGATAACAACGGATACTTGGAACTTGCTAATTAAATGAATAAATATATTTATGTGCAATGCAATGGTGAAAAATAAAAATATTACTAAAAATATAATTGAATAGGTAAGATGATTAGTTTGGAATGCCAATTATAAAATGTCTTCTAAAGTTCGTCGGGATTTGCTATTAAATCATTTGACTTTTAGAAGCTATTCTTTATCATAGATTATTATTATTATTTGTTTAATAATGGTGATAATAGAAATATTTGTATGAGCCATCATCTTACCAATTATTTTGTTGATTAACTTGCGAGACTTAAATGCTGCTTATTGTCGGTAGAGTCACTGCAGAACAATAGTGATGTAAATGTGATGATAAAAATGAAATTGAATGATAGCCATAATTTTTGATTACTTATGACAGTAAAAACTGCATTATTAATAATTTTATTACTAATACTGTTAACACAAGTAATAATGAATAAATAAACGTGATGAGTGTTACAAGAAGTTGATGACAAATATGTAGAGAAATGAAATGTTGCCAGTGATTGAACTAAAAAAAATGCTGGAATGACGATATTTTCACGTTTATCCTTTTTTTTTCTTCCCATAATTATAATATTTTAAAATACATCACTGATTGCGAGTAAGAAACGATTAGTGGCAGTGTGATTCCACACAGAACAATTACAATTAAAAATGGCATCAGTATCAATAGTAGTAGGAGCGATTAAGAGTAGCCGTTGACTTACTTGAAACTGTGCAATAAAAAGTATATGTTATGATGTGATACGATACAACACAAAATACATACTCGTTTCTGAAGAATGATGTCATCTAAAATATTTGCTCATTTCATTTTTTCACAAATTTAATTATCTCTGAGAGGATGAGTGTTGTAAAGAGTGAAATATAAAAGAAGAAGGAAGTAGGACTGCGTTCTTCTCACGTAAAAATCCCATTCTTTACTTAGTCTGAGATTACGTCGGAAAGGACGTGCCAATTTTTTTGTGGTCTGCTTCTTATTTGCATTGCTTTATTACTCCATTATTTGCGCACAAAAATTTTTTCATTGCAAGTAGTGAATATCTTGGAACGGAATTAAAAATTATAAAAAATTAGTTTACTTTCTTTTCTGATATTTTTTACCTACTTTGGCTACCATATTTTAAAATAAGATGTTTAATACTCGAAATTCGTCCATTTCACAGATGAAAATTCAGCTTTAATTCTCACAGAAACAATATCTAAGAAAACTTCTTACTGACATTAATGGAAAAGTCAAAGTTCAAATATCATAGTGAAGATCAGTGAAAGTTAATTTGGGTGATTTTACGTAAATTGACCTTGAGAACGCTAGTAGGTACGTGAGTGTGCCTAGTAGTGAAATGAAGACGGGAAAGCAGAGTAACGGGAAGTATGCTAGAGAAGGGAGTGAAATAGGGAGGAGAAGGAGAGGGGAGGAGGCACACAAAAGAGAAAAAATTTAGTATAATTCAATGTTCAAACAAAGGTCATAGGACTGCAGTCGCTGCCAGCTACGTTTTCTTTCGCAGATTTTATTTGACTATGTGCAAGAGCAGTTTGATCTGATTATTTTCGGGTCATGACTCAACTGACGCACAATAACGGAGTTAGGCACTCGACCTAGATTGTACCGGTATCTCTGGTATTAGCAGTAAACAAAGATTCATCAATTTCCTGCTTCTTTCATCTCAAGTCAAGTCTCACTTTCTGTGATCTGTTACCACCTATTTAATTCAGGTCACGCGGTTAATTATTGCTTATAAAATTTTTCCTTTCAAATTTGTCTACACCAAATAATTTTTCCAAAGGTTTCTTCGTTAGCTTCTTTACGCTCTCTGAAAACATTGCACATTGCACATTCCACATTCATTTACACATTTAACAAATCAAACCATTTACTGAGTTCATTTTTGCTTCTGAACTCTGAGTAATAAAATTGTAAAATAAGATT